CCAGGCCCCGGAGAGAGACATGTTTTTGGAAACCAACCGGCTTTTCCGAACAGCTGCAAAAGGTGAACACCCGTGTTACCCGGAGTCTTCTGACCCTTAAAAAATGGTTGGCCATTACCCAAAATAATGAGGGTAATGGACCCATTTTTAAAGGGTCATGGAGACTCCAGGTAGTGCTTTTGCTGACACCCGGGGGAGCAATCCAGAGTTTATCAAGTGAAGTCGAACCCTCCCAGATGGTTTGCAAGATACTCGGCTTGAGAGCCGTGACACTATAGTCTTTCGTGAGCATGTGACCTCGGACTCTCGTGTAAGGCCGCAACCTTATGGCAACATGGAGCCGCCGCCTATTGCCCGCCGCCTATTGCTCGCAGGTGGCGGCAGACCGACCGCACGCACCTTTCCGACCGATGCGGACTGTACTAACACGGCTCGTAGCAAGATAGGGCGGATATGACAGAAAGTAAGTAGATTGTCCAGATACCGGACACTTAGTCTGAACTTAGTATTGCTCTTTACTGACCTGTACTAGGAAGATGCTTTCGAGAAACCAGATAAACACGGATACAACAAGATAACATGACATACATATAAGAAAACAAGATAATCCAACATGTTAATATACATGCATATATAATTCATAGAAACAAATGAACAAACAAGGAGACAAAACGAGACAAGCCAATGCAACGTGTTTGGTCGACTTTGTCATATATATATATATATATATATTCATACTTGGAGCAATGGCATCATCCTGGCGAAAATAATAAATATAATGAAATCTAGCACAATAAAATAAGTTTCAGAAACCCACAAACAGAGGAAGCAAAGGGGGAAGGTCTGGCTTTGCAAAGAAGAGATTTGGAGGGGCCGGCTTTTCCATTTAGTTTGGGTTAATGATTCTAGTTTGATTGTTTCAATTGCGTTGCTTTTCCATTTAGTTTCGGTCAGTGGTTTGAAGGGGGCCGGTTTTCCATTAGTTTGGGTTGCTGGTTTGGAGGGGCCGTTTGTTCATTTAGCTTTCTTAGTTTGGAGGGGGCCGCCTTCTCATGTTTTTCCGTTTAATTTTGGTTGCTGGCTTGGAAGGGGGCTTGTTTCATTTAGTTTGGGTTGGTTGTGTGGAGGGGCCGCTTCTTCCTTTTAGTTTGGGTTGATGGTTCTTTCATTTGCCTTTTCTTGGTGGTTTGGAGGGGACGCTACGTGCTCGTCCCAAAACCCATTCCAGACATCACCGATGCCTCGGGCAGCTCCCACAGGCGACTCCACCAAGGGACATAAGACAAAAAGTGGGAGGCGCCCCTAATTGATCAAAACCAACCAGGGAAGCCCTAGGGTATTAAACGAATGTCCTTGGGACCCATTTTGGATGAGGAGCATCTCTAAATAAAATATGGTGGTTATATGAACCCCTTATTCAGTCGCCGCCAGCGGGAAAAACCTGTTCAGACACTTGGCACGCTGACCTTCAATCGCAGGGAGGCCCTGTTCCAACAGATGCTGCCATCTAAATATATAGAGTCAAGGCTTTCAAGACAAACCACACTTTCATCTCTCATTGAAAAAGTTGGTTGCTCGCACCAACACGCTATAAGGGTACTTGTTTTCTGAGGAAGCAGCCCATTGACAACAGGACTACTCTCGTACCAGCGTTCACCGAGGCCCAAACAAAACGAGGTCTCCAACAGTGATGTTCATTACTCGTGGAGTTCCATTCAAAACGTTGAAACTCCCGGGTCCCAAAAGCGATGTTGGGGAGATCACAAAGTTCAAATTCCCGAGTCCCAAAAGTGATGTGAAGAAAGTTTGAATGCTGTTCTTTTTGTGGTACTGGGCTGCTCGGATGGGCTGCTGGGTTTCGTGAAGTGGTACTTTTTACTTGAGCTTCTAATTTGCTTGTCGTGTGTGGCTGCCATGCCTGTCACTGGCCTGCTGGTCGGGCTGCTGACTCTCGTGAAAATGTGTTTTCTAGTGGAGCTTCTAATTTGCTTGTTGTGTGTAGCTGCCTTTTTTTGCGCAATTACATTTTTTCAGGGCCTGTCAGGCAGGTTCTCCCCACACAGAGGCTAAGCATCTAAACAATAATGTGCGACTAATTCTCAAATAAGGCAACGAGCATATCTAGTTGACTGGCTGACTGCTTCTCCTGATGTGTTGTGAGCCATACGGATCACAACAAAACTGATGCGCCTCTGAATAGTGGCAATGTCCTGTTGCTCGAAAAGTACATACTTATGGTAGAAGATATGTGGAAGATATGTGAAAGACACAACCACTTATTACATGTTAGTTTTTTCTGAGTAGCTACTCCTAAGTCTACCATATCTCCGGCGGAGAATGACCCATACCATATGAGATAAACATATAGTTAACCACCTGATAAACAGACTTGCACCTGACATGCTATCTTCAATTTCAAGCTATCTGACTGCGAGCTTTCTTAGTTGAAAGCCCTTGCCGGCTGCGTCGAATGTTTTGGTTTCCATGGCGAACCCTGATTTCGCATTCCCTTGACCCCTTTCCCCTCCCAGCCGAGCAGCCGTGGGCCAGCAGAGCCAATTGGCTGAGTCTAAATTATTGGTTTGGAACATGTGGGAGTGAAACATGTGGGTGTGTACTTTTTTGAGGGATGCCCTTGTTGGTCGGTTTTATGAAAGGGAAACCAACGAAAAAGCCCCCAATTTGTGCGGAAAACACACGAGCCACCCATATGGTAACTAGATCTCTCAAGACCCGACTCGAGACTTGGACGAAACAGGGTTCCTCGCCCATGGATGCGGAAGGTCCGCAAGCAGCGGATCTCAAGCCACCCGATTCCCAGTGGGGCTCCACAAGTCTACCAAAAGACGAGTGCCCTTTTTGTCCCTCGGGCCACTGGGAGGTTATTTCGCTGTCTGAGGTATGTGGTCGATAGGCGGCCTGTTGTTCCAAATACCAGCTTGAAAACAAGACAGGCCCATTCTAGCCAATTTGTTCCATGCTTCTGGAAAGCCGCACCAGTAGTCCTAGTGGCGTGTACCCCATGTAAAGGCCCGGACAGTTTACATTGACGATGTTGACCTGCCGGAATCTATCCACTGAGGGCAACATCCGTTTGGTTTTGGCGATTCCGCTTCCCATCGGGCCTTCTGCTGTGTCAGTGGCCACATAAATGCAGAACGCCTGAGGCTAACTGCGCATTGACGTCCGCGACATTGTTCCCCATTTGGGTGGTTGGCGCGTTGACCTGCTGTATGTCGGATTTCTTTGACACCTCTTGTCATGTGTCACATGCTTCCACCGTAGAAGCTTGACACCTCTTACTAGAGTGAATTGTTTGACACCTGCATCTCTATGTCCCGCGAGCAACCACTCTCATGCAATCACATGCACGGGGAGAGATGGCGGCGAATCTCGTTGAAGCCAGTTGCCCACAGATAGCCCCGTGGTAGGTAACAAAAAGCCGATATTTACCAATGAACAAGCAAGAGATAATCTCAATATTATTTGTGCCCAATCAACCTGCATTTATGGGATGGGGCAGTGCAACCGTCACGCCATCTGCACGAACAGTCAAAGACAGCGTTATGCGTGGCAGAGGGGAGCGGCCGCTGAAATGAGTTGAGTTCTTTTGGCGATCTCGTTTTGTGACCCGAAGAGGCGCCCCAACATTTGGATGAATGATTGCCTTGATGTGTTTAGCTTTGCCCAGTATAGTGTCTTACCGATGCTTGTCACAGGAGGGGACACAGACGAGCCCACAGCTACGCAACGCAAAGACCAACACGAGTTGCTATGACAAGTATCATGCGGCAGGGTTGAGCATCTGCAGCCCCTCTGCTTCTGATCATTGCCAACGTTCGCGCGCAAAAAACAAGAAGCGTGTGCCCAGGCGTTACATGGTTCGAGCCCTACAGTGGATTGACAAACATGCTGCGCCCCTGCTGGTAGGTGGTTTATCCCAGCATGCATAAGGCTTCATCCAGCGCGACTGGTGCAGGAATTTGTCCATCCACTGTGAGTGCTGTCCCTCGACCTGGAAGTAGAGTGCGTGAAGTCACAGGTCTGTCACAACTCGGAGGATTCAATCAGGGTCACTGCCATTGGGTTCACTTCACTTGCTTTCGGGCAAAATGTCCGCCCCTTCCAAGATGCTGAATTTTTGGGACGCCAAACCAAGCAAAACACGGGACTGTTAGGGGAAAGCTCATTGTATGGTTGTCCTCGGAATCCACCAAGATGGTCCGGAAAATAGGCAGATCCAAAAACCCATGGTGAGAGCTCTGCTTGTTTTGGCGAGCTCAGTTGTTGGTTTCCCTCGGATGATCCAAGCCTACGTCTCGAGCTTCTGCCTTTCGTGGCCGCAATAGGCCAAGAAAATAAGAAACCACATGACAACCCTAACAATAGGAAAACTAAAAGCAACGAGGTTTTGATTGAAAGCCTTCTTGCTTCGTTCTGAAGAAACAGAACATCTCCAAGAAAAGGCGCCAAGTGCGACCCCCTTCCCCCCCCCCCCCAACCCCCCCAATCCCACCTCAGCTTTTGGTCCCAACCTCAAATCGGATGTTTTCTTCCCCGGTCGTCAACACCTATAGTCAGGTAACTCTTAATTGGCGGTTTGGATTTGGAATTGAGCCCAGGGTTTTAACCACCAAACCACCAATCCAAACCACCAACTAAGAACGCTAAGAAAGCTGATTAAGCGGCTCCCATCCGGACCCCTTTCACCGAACTGCGAGTTGCAGTGTCCAATACCAGAGCCAGCTAATCTCATTGCTTTGGCGTTCCTTCACGCCCCACTTCAAGCAACAACATGTTTTTGAATCTTTGGGGGGCTTCAAGGTAAACGGCGAGCCTACTCCCTTATTCCGTTCCGAATCGTTTTCGGTCGCGAGAACAACCAAACACGGTCGAAGCCTTCATCGGAACCCTCAAGCTGGGTCTTCTTTTGGCTTCCCTTTCAAAAAAACATTCAAAAAAACAAACAAAACCTACAGGCCGTTACCCAAAAAGCCCAGGTATACCTTCCGCTCCAAGCGGGACTTTTCCTTCCTGGGGGCCGCCCTGTGGCCCTTGCTGTCAGTGCCTCAGGTGTTGTCCCCGTGTAGATCGGAGCTGCGCTTTTGGGCTGGGCAACCCAAAAACGGCACTGCAATGGTACATGGAAGCAAAGACCAAAACCAGGCGGTTGGCCCTAGATCTTGCATATTGGGCCACACCTATATATCTTTTAGAGCTGAAGCCATTCGAGCGACATCAAAGCTCCGCGAAACATGTCTTGGACACCATTGGCAGCAAAGTTGAATGCACGGAGTTCCACAGATGGCCATGATCACGTTTCACACCAAAAGAGATCCTCCCGGCTCCAGGTCAGGAGAATTGTCAGGCGCCCCCAAGAAAGGTACCCCTTGTTGCGAGCCTCTTATTTTGTTCTCCCCAGATTTCCCGGGTACCCAAAGGCTTGTAGAAGCTTACCAAAGGGAGTTCCTTCGTGGGGGCAGGACAATTCCTTGAATATGTCCAAAGCGACCCTTGAGATGCCATGGAGGCCCGATCCAACCAGAAAATCGACCGACCAGCTACAAACTGAATATGTATATAGAGGCATATATTTTTATGGAAAGCGGCCAGTGGGACACCAACGGATGCCATTGTAGATTACCAATCCGATCAGGAAATTGCAGCTATCAGGGAATCGGTTCGTGCAACCCGTGCTATACTTAGCTATTTGGGTATGGCTCGAAACAAAGGAGCTAGGGTCAACCGCTGGTTTTAGTCTTTGGTTCCAGTTGCCAAGGTGCCATGTTGGTCTCCATTTCTTGGTTGCCAATTCCATTTGGCTTTTGGCTTTGTTGTGTTTCCGCAGTGTTTTCCTTTCAGCCAGCAAGGGAACGTCTTGGGTCTCCGTGCCGAATTTGCACAGGTGGATCCTCGAAATCAGCAAAGGCGAAGTCGTTGGAGGGGCCTCTCCAATTTTCCCCTTTTTCCCGCAATCCCCCGCATGGTTTCATGGTAATTGTAGCTTGTGGCACCCGGTTTACCATATAAACCATAGTGAGTTTTGTTATTTTGTCCAACACACCTTGTCCCATGTCCACAGTATGTTGCTTGCTGAAGCACATCTTTCAAGCATTTCCTCAAGTCATGGGCCGGCGGTCCGATCGATCGCGCGAGTCACGAGGTTCGCACTCTGCTGCTTCTCTTTGCTGAGCGCACGCACCTGAGAGTCAGTTGCAGGTGAGTCAAAGCGAACCAAGCCAACAGCCACGCATGGATCTATGAGATATGTGGACCCACAGGAGATAGGGTAATCCGTAGAACCTACCTGCACCCATGCATGAATACACAGACAGAGACAGACCGACAAACAGAAATGCAGACAGACATACCCGCCGACCTACATACCTGCATACCTACATGCCAACACATCTGCATGCCCACCAACCTACAGACCTACAGACCTTCACACCTACAGACCTACGTACCTACATACAAAACCAGCCGCTGGTTCATTGGCTACACTTTTCTTCCAGTGTCCTTGCCAAATTGGCAACCACATGCATCACTCGCCAGGCAAGAGGATCTTGGGAAAGCTACACGCAGGGCTGACCCGGCAACAGTCGCGTTTTTTTTTTTTTGAATGAGTTGTAGGTGTTTCTTTGTGAGAGATCCTAAGCAAATACGCACACACACACAACACAAGGCTATTGCGGGTTCTTTAGATGGTGCACCTGGAAAACGTATGACCTCCTTGAGATGTACCCATGCTTGGATTTGAGGGTGTATTTTTGAGCATGTCCCTGGCCACCTTACAAGTCTTGATGAGTGTTGGAATGTGCTTGTTCCCCCTTGTGTTGTTTGCAACATTTGGCGTTCTGCTTGCATAGCCCAAATGGATGTACCCACATCAGTTGTTGTAAACGGATTTTGCAGGGTAAATGGGCCATCCAGAGCATGCCCTGGAAAGCACCCATACAAGTGGGATATGTTCATGTCGGGGACCCTTTTTTTAAGGGGACCACAAGGGGCGTGTGTAAGTAGGACCTTACAGCAGAGTGTCTTGGGCCTTGCTCAGCTTGGACGCTGAGGTCTTTTTCCCTTCGCTGCAGACCCGGCTGGTTGAGCCGAAAAGGGCAATTGGAACTGGTGAAGCAGGGAGAGATCGTTGGGTCCCTTTCTGGAGCGTCCTTAGTTGGTCCAGTCTTTTGGTGGGTAAGTTGATGGCTTGGCTAGCTGGCTGGCTGGGTTGGTGGGTTCCTCAAAAAATTGTCGTTGCACTGGTGCTCTTGAGGCAGCGTGTTGAGTCCCAAGTCCTCGGTGCGGGAGGGGGGGGGGGGAGTTGGGTGACCCTTGCATGTTTTTTCCGTTGACTTGGCAAGATGCTTGCGGATTGGGGGTGCATCAAGAAATCGGACCCCTTTATGGATAAGGGAAACCAAAAAGACACCAAAAGGAAACCAAGTGGAATGTGTCCCCATTTTGGTTTAGTCTCGCTCGGCCTTTTCTCCGTTCAGTGTTGGTTTAGTGCTGGTTGAGTACGACTTAGTATTCGTGCTGATTGGCTCGGCAAAGCGATGCTTGAAACTGCGAAAAGGGGAGATATGGGGAGCTTCCTGCACATCATCGTGTGTCAAGCTCGCCACACAGGAAGCTTAAACTGGGCCATGGTTGGCTCCCCACTGTTCCTCTTGGTTTTCGACATCACCTCGTTGCCAGCTATCAGTGAGTGCCATTCCATTCAGCAATGGCGATGCTTTCATCCCAAGGGGAAAGTGTGCTTGTGGTGCCCAGGAGCAGGAAAGGTACATGGGCAACCGAACGGTGCTGTGCAACAAACAAACACGAGGAAGTACAGGGACAGGGAGCCCTGTTTTTGTGCCTCTTACAGTGTGGAAATGTGGGGTTTGCTGGGTGGTTTCCTTTTGGTTCCCGGTTCCTTTTGGCTGCCCTTTTGGTGTCCTTCCATAAATGGTTTGTGAAGTAGGTGGACACTACAGACTGGCGGTTTCCCTTTGGTTTCATGAAACAACCGGCTTTCGCCTCAAAAGACGAGCCGATCCTTGGCTTTCAAAGAAGCCAGGCGAATGGGGTGGATGAACCTCATCGTCTCCTTCGCAGGAGCGCCAAAGCTGGGCCTGGTCAAGAAATTTCTCAGATGAACATCGAAACCCCAACAGCGCTACATGAAACTCCTGTGGGCTGTTCAAAGGTAATCCTTAATCCTTACCTTGGGTTTCGCAAGGGGTCCCGTTTGTAGTGTCTTCCCTATTGGGATTATGGATTAGGATTCGCCAAACCCTCCACGTACAGCCCAGTTGTTTGGGACCCCCCCGTTGAAAGATAAATTACTTCTGGGGATGTTTTACCGAAATAACCACCATTTACCTGGAGTGGAGTTGAGAAATTCCACTGTGGATGGGCAAGGATGGGATGCCAGCTAGTGAAAGATTTCTTCCATAGCTTATAAGGGGTGTGAGGAACAACTATGTTGGATAATACCACAAAGGCCTAAATAAATAATGGGTAGAAGTACCCAGGGCCATTCTTCAACTTGGCCTTTGGCTTCCTGTGAGAGAGGTGCCACTTGGTTCAGATCAGCCCGAAGGTTCCTTCATATCCAGGTGGGGAGGGGTTCACCCTTGGCTTCCTTACTAGGCTGATTCGGCATAAACAAGCCCTATATTCCAACGGTCAAGATGAACCATGCCATCATTTGGGTGGTTGGTGTCTTTTGGTTGAGGCTAAGTACCCGTGGTTGGTGTACGACTCTCTGCCATTGGTTGAGGAGCAGCAATCTTCTGCGGGTACATCGTCTTTGATACCTGGCGCATATGCAACGAGCTCAAGGTGGATGACTACGTGGAGGCCGCCTCTGAAGATTTAAATTCGTCGTTCAGAATAAGGAAACTGGGGTCCCAAGGTATGTGTGTTGTTTTGAGAGTGTCCCTTTCAACCAAGCTGAAATGGAAAAAAAAACAACGCCTGAATGGGTGGGGCTCTCGTTTTCGTTGGGGTGGAATCCCATCGCGATAAGTTCGAGATTCCTCTTACAGGAGCTAAATGCTGCGCCCCATTTGAGGCGAGCTTTCGGAAATAGGATACAATTGTCTTGGACAAAGGGACGAGTTGGAAAGCCCGTTGGGGTGTGGGTAGTGGCTCACTAACAAAACGGATTGTACTCCCACCTTCTCTGCCCAGAATTCTGCTTTTGGTTTACTCAGTGGTTGTGTGTTTTCGCTGGGACCAACCAACTTAATCCCAATCGGACATAATCCGACGGTGGCAGCCCGCGGCTGATCAATAGCAAAGTTATGTGAATCATGTCTGTAGGGAACTGCAAGTGGTGGTCTCGCCTCTTTGTAATTTGTATTGGCAGGAAAGGGTTGTGGTCACAGCGAAAGCTTGGGGAAGGGGGTCGCTAGACATCCCTTGCGTCCACGGAGAGCCTGACTCTATTCGTCGAGGCTCATGCAATCTACCGAGTGAAAAGAGAGCTCCCGCAGGGCGGTGGCCGAGCAATAAATAGCCACGAAGACCCGAGGCGAGTCAAAAAGGGGGGGACGAAAACACCCCCAAACCAAAAGACCCCCAAACAGAGAAAAGGGGGGACAACCTTAGCGAGCTTCGCCCCGTAGCCGCTCAAGCACGCTGTTGCGGCGAGCGGGCATCGCGGGTTGACTTTGCCATTTGGCAAGTGCGATGCATCCATCACTATTGGATGGACGTTGGCTAGGGGTATGAAAGGGCGGAAGTGGGCGAACTCTGTCAGGGAGTCCCTTCTGTGTCCATGCAGTGTCGCGAGCAAAAAGGCCCTGAGCAAGGGTGGTCGCGACGTTGAACTCAGCATCACCAAGAAAGTACGGTATAATCATCCACTTGATGTCGTCGACAAATGGATGAAGCGGTCGAACCTTTTTGAAGCATGAGTTGAAGCCGGGAACAACCTCTCTGCCAATTGTCCTGCTGAGCAACCTGAAAATCACAAGCAAAGCGTTAGCCTGCCGCCTGATCGATTGTGTGAGGTCACCCCGCCAGTGCCATGTGTTCTTGTCCCTGACGGGCAAGCCTCTGCCAGTGCGCTCGTAGAACAAGAGTCCAATCAGAATGATCGGTGTCCCACTGCCTGCTTGAGCAGGTTGACGTTTCCAGCGAAGGGTGGCCAGGAAATTGCAAAAGTACCAAATGAAGTCAGCAGGAAAAACAGTCTCAAAACCAGGCACTTCGCTGCAGTCGACGTACGCTTCGCCTGCCAGCTGCTCAGAGGTGCTCGGGGTGTTGCCAAGCACAGCAGTGAGCGTGGAGCTTGAAGGCGCCTCAGTTCCTTTTTTCGTTGCAAAAACCCTGGCAACTTGGACATGAAGTTGGGCGAGTTCAGTCAGAGTCTGAATCATCCGCGCGTCCTCTGCGATTCCGCGGATCGCTAACTGCTTAATGTTGGGCTCCCACAACTCATGGGCTTCATTAGCAGCTCGGTCAGCGGTGTCGTTACCTCTGATAAGGAATGCATCGGCTGTTGCAATGTTTCGATGCGCCTTGACCCAACTAACGCCGAAAACCGCAGCCGGGCGACCGTGCAATGCGTTGTACACGTTCCGGACCAGGTCAGAATTGGGTCTGCGAGCAAAATGGTCTGAAAGTCCACCGGTCTGCAGATCATGAATGATGCCGGCTGCATACTGAGAATCTGTGTAAACTGTAGCATGCCAAGTGAGTTCAAGCACACAAAGAATAGCTGCAAGTTCACCTCGATCTACACTCTGCAAAGGGCCGTCCAAAATCTGCTGAAAACTGTATCGTTCCTCCACAGTTTGCGGATCAACGCAGACGCCTCGCTAGACATCCCTAGCCATTTCAAGACACCCAGAGCGGGTGACATGCCTTCAGCGCAATTTGATCGAGTGCATAGGGCGCCATCCAGCTGTACATGGACATCGTCAACCTGTTCTTGTGCCCCGCTCCGGGCCGATTGGGCCGGGGAGGCGGGGTAGGGCGATGGGTGTCTTTCGATTGAGTGACGTGCGCAATTTGTGGTGGACACAAAGCCGTCACGGTAGACCTATTCTCGTAACTGGTGGGGTTGAACTCAAGTGGCTAGTGTGGGCTGGCAAAGAGACTGCCAAACTCAGTCAAACATGCGGCGGTATTCTGCGCGAACTCAGCACCTTGCGTCCCATCCCATTTGGTTTGTGCTTAATCCCCCAGCCAATTCTGAATGTAATTTTGTTCGGGCCCATTTCCGACCTAGCGCCAAGCCTTCAGGCACTTTGTTTCTAGGCCTTGCACAGCTTTGATGGTTAATGAGTTTCCCTTTCAAAGCCATCCAAAGAGGGCATACCCTGAAATGACATGTTTAAATGCTTTATGAACCTCATTTGGGACAAAAAGCACGTCAATAAGTAGTGCCGCCTGTAAATGGTGTTCCCACGCTCCTAGTGGCCCCGTTTGGACTGCCTTTGGTGCTCTCACTCGGACCTGAAGTGCACAGCCTGAGCAAGGCACAGGGGGCCAAGGCGAGAATGAAGGCAGCTTTCCATGGGTAGAAAATAGAAACGATTGGATGTGTACGGGCTACCATAGCCGCTAGAAAAGGATAAACACGCAGGGAGCATTTTGTTTCGTGCCAGCGTCTTCCGAGCAAAACAAGTGCGAGTTCCGCCAATTGCAGCCCAATCGCGCAGACCTGACTCGCAAGGATTCCATTGCTCCAGGAGGAACCGCCCCCTCATGCAGTCAACAAAGTCCCGTGAAACCCCCAGCTTAGAAGACTCGTTTTGCTGTCTTTTTCGTACCGTTTAAGCAATTCTACGGCAAGAGTTTCTTCGAAACCGACGATATTTTATGTGGACCAGGACGCCTTGGGTGATCAGGGGCAGTTCGTTTTCGTCGGGTGAGCGAGTGGGACGGATGTCCGTGTCAGAACGGATGGGGGGGCAGTTTAAACACATGCTTCCCCAATTTTGGGTGATGCTCCAGGAGAGGCATCCGGAAGACGCTGGGTTTCAGGTGCCTTGAAGAGGAATGGACCATCAAAATCATCACCCTTAAGAATAGGTGAGCGACCCTTTTGTTATTTTATTGTTTTTATATGGGTAGCTCGAGGGTTCAGGAATGTGGGTTTATCTTTTTGAGAGTACTCCTTTTTGGATGGATTCAAGGGAAACCACAAGGAAAACCAAAGCCATCTTGGGGGTTCCCTAAAAAAAGTCACGCCCATATCTCATCTCGATTTCTTCAAACATGATATCAGGTGTTTGTCCATGGGAAGGCGCGGGGGTTCTGTGTTAGAGGGTCATGCCCCTTAGCCCAAGTATAGTATAGCAATATTTCGGGGCTGGTTTTGTAAACAAGGCAACCAACAATTACTGATTTGCTTTTCATTGAAACTGAGTGGGTTCCTACATACCTGATGCCAGCGATAACTTCGAAGCTTTGTAACATTGTACACGAGGCCGCTCTTGCCCCTGACATCTCTGGCTCGGTTAGGTACATCCTTCGCATCCTCCTGGAAATCGCTGCGAAGCGGGACTAGCCCATCGGCTCCCCGCGCAGGTGCCCGCTGCATCTCCGGGTGGATTTGTGTCAAAATAGGATTCCGAATCCAAGAAGTTGGCGGTTTCCGGTGGTTTGTGGCGAATTTCCAGCCCCTCTGTTTCGCACCTGGTCTGTCAAGCATGCCATGGATGTTTCAGCTGCTAACTTGGTTGCTGGCGTCCCTGAAGAAAAGCATGAACCTTGGCCACTTCGTTCCGTTCTCGCCCATGTTCAAAGTATCGCGGAAACGGCGGGGGGGAGCAACCTTTGACTGACCTGCCACGAGTGGCTGTAATTCATCGCCGTTTCTATGTTTCGGCAAGGCGCCCAGTGGCTGCTTCCTGCCGTTGAAGAGTGTCCTTCAACCAAAAAGGGGGCTTCCAGTTGGAATCCACCGGGTCTTGCTAGTACAGTTGCCCTTGTTAGCGTTTTTCCTTTTGTTCTTCTTGTGGGGGGGGTCCGTATTTCTCGGCCCATTCTCCCCTTGCTGGCTTGATCCTCACAACAAAACCGCTAAAGACTTTGCCTCACATTGCCTCACATTCCCTGACAGTGTTTGCCTGTTTCTCGCGTTATGACGAGATCAGGACCCGCAAACTACCCGGACATCACTCCATAACTTTGGGGCAGCAATCTGTTTTATGGCTGTTTGAGGGTCCAGCTACAGAAGCTGCAAGCCACGTCATGGCTGACCTGGTGAAAGTATGAAGTGCAAGTTGTGCTTTGTTTGAGGGTGCCTTCTTTTGTGGGCTTAAAGGGATACCAAAAGGAGAACCACTATTTTAGGGGTTCGCGAAAAACAAACACGCCCAGTTGTTGGCAACTGTTGCAGCTGGCCTCAGCCTTTGGCACCCCTCAGCCACAATCGAGACCCTTGCCATGCGCAAGAAGTATTGCTTGCTTTGTGTTCTTCAACATGGTTTTGGTCGGCTTCTTTATCAGGGTTTGCCTGTTGAAGGCATCACCACCTGCCCCATTTACTCCTTAACATAAACCCCAAGGAGAAAAAAAGTGGGCAACGGCGTATGTCCGCTTTGGGGGTTGGTCTTTGACCCGACACGTGCGCAGGCAGCCGTACTGCGCGATTGCGATGGGCGCAAATGGTGGGGAGCGAAGCCAAATCCAAATCGTTAATCAAATGTTGAACTCAAAAAAGAGCAGAGGCTGAGGAACCAGGATTTTCTTATCACCGAATCACCTGGATACTCTCTCTCATGTGCGTCCCAGCATAGCATTGACACATCAGTTGCTCGTACCCAAACCACAAGAGAGCATCTCGTGAAAGGAAGGCTGTGCTTTTCTTGGTGTTAAGGACGCTGAGGCAGAAAGAGAGAGACAGAGAGAGAGAGAGAGAGAGAGACAGCGAGAGATAGAGAGAGAGAGCGAGAACGATGGGTGATGGGTTTGTTGGCGTCACATTGCTTTATGACATGCCCGAAGGTGAGATAAATCGTTCTGGAGTGATCAACAGTACTGGGACCAGTCAATGGACAAGCGAGCCCGGCAGCTGGTACAGCCCGCAAAAACACGCGCGATTCGTCAGGCTGCTCTGTGGCGTAACAGGGCGAGATAGATGACTATGATGGATAGCAGTGCAGTACGAATCATTCGATCAATGCAAGGAACTAGGAAAACCGCCAACCTTTAAAATGTGTGGTTCCTTTTGGGCTCCCCGAAGCAAGACATGACCAACACAATTGCTGGTCGGTTGTTTCTTGGAGGACATGCGGGCACCAACAAAAGCACAACAACGAGCTCATCCCCAAACAAAACTCACAAACCAGCTCATCCAATTTTCTAGCATGTCTTGGGGTTCTTCTTTTTTCTGCAGTCCTTTGGCTTTGGATCCCTCGAGTGAAAAAAAGCTTGGGGATTGGTTCCCCTCGTGCATTCGGATTTCCCTCGGGTGGGCAAATGCGAAAAGGGTCCAGCGGTGTTTGAGTATTTCCAGCGCGGTGAATGTGTTCTTGACCCATCCGTGCTGATCTGGTGGCTTCAGGCTCGCTATGACTCAAAACAAACATCATATTCGACAAATTCCCACGGACCCCCCCCCCCCCTCACAAAAAATGAAGAAGATGAAGAATAAGAAAACAACAGAACGCAGCAGACCTACTCGAAGCCTTTTTTGGGCCGGTTTGGCTTGGGAGCTATGCAGACTGATTACTTGGATGTTCATAAGTATAGGTTATAACCAAGGTTACAACCGCGGCAACTGGGGTAAGGCCTACAACCATGGTTGTAACCTACTTCCCTGACGTCCCCGAGGAGCCCTCTGTGGCCTGCACGTGCCTTCACAAGTCCAGGTCCCTGGTTCAGGCTGTTTGCTTGGATCTAGCTTCTTGGGATGTTTCTTTCGATGAAGCAAAACCTCTTTTCCCCTCGCTAAACCTTCTACCCTTTGCTTCGCTTGGTCGCTTCGCTTGTATGCATGAGACCCAGCCTGCCTACGACGCTATGGCGCCATCGCAAGATGCCTTGCTGTCGACCCCCCGGCACCGCCAGCCTCTGCCGCTGAAGGCGGCTCTGGAGATGCGCGCTTTGGGCTTCGGGGCTCGAGTGCTCGGGCCAGCCCAAAGTCAGGGTGCTACGGTAAAATCAGAGAGTGCCGCAATCAGACATGAATGACGCTTCTTTTACAACGGTTTGAGTTTCGTTGCTTTGTTTCTGTAGATACGAGTCATTCTATGCTAGTTTTCCCTTCACAAGTTTGACCGTTTTCTTTGATGATAGCCCGCCTGAAATGGCAACGGTAGTCCCTCACATTTGTTTTCCCCCTTGGCGGACTCCCCCTGATCAGGGCCAATATTCCGGGAAGACCCACTCACATATGACCTGAGACCTGCAACATCTTGGGACGCTGCCGTGCAGCTCTTCCTTCCGAACCCAATCCAATTAAGCATGGAACGCAATTAGAATTCAGCCTCAAGATCCATTCTTTATAGTAATCTGTTGGTAATTCTGATCTCGGTAATCTGTTTCTGAAGGGAATTCATGTAACGCTTTGGACCTAGGCAAACCTGGTTGGTATTCAATGCCAGCATAGACGCTCAAACACGAGGGCCTGGGAGGTTGTCCAATGGAGGGGTCTGGGTCTTCCAAGCCGAAGCCAGCCATTGGGATGTGAGGCATATCCGACGCCATCGGCGGCACCGGCCAGGAGAAGAGTCAGGAGGAATGCCGGCGGCGCAACCGGGGGTCCTTCATGGCGGTCATGGACCCCTACATCGCCGCGCGCTGCGAGAAGCCGGCGCAGCGCTGAGAGACATGAGGCTTGTATTTGTTGTTGTTGTTTTTTTCGGGGGGACCCCTTTAGCAGGTAGGTTTAAAGGGAATCAGGGGTACACCGTTTTGGGGGCCAACTAGAAAACCACACACCCAAATGGGCGCGTCGCCTTTTGAGGCGAACACGTTCCATTCGGGTTTTTCGGGAGGAGGAAAAGGACAGCCCTGCCAGTTCAAGGATTCTTTGTGACAAACCCAAATCTCGTTTCTGGCTGCTCCGGCCAGAAAATGTCACCCATGAGGGCCAAACCTTACAACAGCCATTGCTTCCTATAGTCTACTATAGTCGGAGCTGAAAGCACTGGGTCAGGCAAGTCGCTGGTGTCCGTGGGTGTAACGAACTTTGTAGTCTTGTGGGTTGTGACCAGGGTTACTACTGCCTTCAGACGACACGCTTGAGTTCGATGCGTCTTTCAGTTCGGCATTCTTTCGGCATGTTTTTGGTTTCAGGAAATCACCATTTGGACCATCTTACACCATGGTTGTGTTTTGCAGAATCGAATCGTAGGGCGTAAAACAAAGCGGGAATATACCTCAACCTGCCAACCATTAACCCAAGCCACCCAAGAAAGGGAGGGTGCTCTCTGGAATGCCTAAATGGATGTGCTGTTAGGGTACATTTTTTTGGGGGGTGCGTCAAATGGCAACCAAAGGACACGACCTGTTTGGAGGGTTTCCTTTTGAGATATTGCCGAATTTCAACCTGACATTCCAGGGACACATGCCTTCGGCCGTTCCCCTTATCCCTTCACCCATGGCTTCGTCTCATGGAACATGTTGTCTTTCGGCACCTAGTTTTCCCCGGAGCACTTGTTGGTCTAAGAAACCAGCAACAAGTTGGGGACATTCATTCAGAAAAGCCATCTACGGAAATCCAATGAATTTCCTGTGACGACGGGCTGAGTCCCAGGAACTAACCAATGCCTCCCGATCCCAGGAATCCGACAGCGTGAGTGTGGCTGACGTTGACTGGTTGGACTGGCCGCTCGGAGAGGTTGCTCTTGCAACAGCCTGGGCTGTTTGGCGGTTCCTTTGCCTTTGAGAAGCTGATGTTAGCAGTGACTTTGTCCCATGTTTTGAGTTCTTTCGTTGTTTTGTACTTGAGTTTTGGTTTGAGCGGGCGGGTGGGTGGAAGGCTGAAAGGGTGGAAGGATGGACGGATGGAAGGGTGGAAGGATGGAAGGGTGGGTCGGGTTGCTCTGTACGTGTGCGTGCGTGCGTGCGTGCGTGCGTGCGTGCGTGCGTGCGTGCGTGCGTGCGTGCGTGCGTGCGTGCGTGCGTGCGTGCGTGCGTGCGTGCGTGCGTGCGTGCGTGCGTGCGTGCGTGCGTGCGTGCGTGCGTGCGTGCGTGCGTGCGTGCGTGCGTGCGTGCGTGCGTGCGTGCGTGCGTGCGTGCGTGCGTGCGTGCGTGCGTGCGTGCGTGCGTGCGTGCGTGCGTGCGTGCGTGTGGTGTGTGTGTGTGTGTGTGTGTGTGTGTGTGTGTGTGTGTGTGTGTGTGTGTGTGTGTGTGTGTGTGTGTGTGTGTGTGTGTGTGTGTGTGTGTGTGTGTGTGTGTGTGTGTGTGTGTGTGGTGTGTTCTGTGCCTCAAAGAGCAACCCAAACGATCAAGCCTGTTGCGTTTGCGGCCAAAATTGCATTTGTAATCTGCATGCGCAGTTCTTATAATGGCGGTTGCGCACATCCGACCCTTCGACAACCAAGTCGATTCATGGGGTGGTCCTGGACAATGGACTTGTTACAGTTGCTCTTGACTCCGCATTGGATGCCGAGCTGACCTGGGTGCTCAAGCTTCCAAAGCTAACATATGCGCGTGAAATATGACAATATGACCACATGCACACTTGGGCGCGCAGGCAAACACACCGTTGAAAAGGGGAACCACCAAAGAAACATGATGCCGGACACGTGTTGCAGAGGGGCAACTTGGCTCCAAGAAGTGTTTTGCATTGCAAGTCTGATTGCCTGGAATGGTCTTGGCCTTTAGCGTGTGCGCATCTTGCTGGCTACTTGGATTTTTGTTGTTTTCCAAGAAGCTGGCTGGTACTTTCCCTGCCCCAGCCGCTTTTTATCGGGGGCCGTCGAAAAAGATCCCGTTATGTATCGTTATGTACTTGGATGAGTAGTTTTTTAACGGTTAATATCCTAGGATAAACCTACTTGCAGCTGGGCCAACTCCACTTGGAAACTTAGAAGCAGGTGATAGAATAGGTTACTAACCATTTACTAATGTCGCCAAACACCGAAGTAATGAATCACTCATCCTTCCATCAAATGGACATGGGTAGATCTGTTGTTGCTTCGCTAAGAAAGCTGTTCGTTCTGACCGTGCTCCTTTCAAATCCGGCGTCTGAGCTGATTGAGAGGTCGTAAGGGAGTATTTGTTTTTTGGGTGACCCCGCCAAACTTATGGTGTTCCGTATGGTTTCCTTTTAAGACCATACAACAGCTCCCTCCAAAACACGCGCGCACGCACATAAAGGTGGAACAATAGGAACCGAACCCCCAGAGTGTTGAAACCCGAATCGCGGCTGGCTCCGCTTTGACTGCTAAGACCGTCCCAAGCCGCGGGTATCGGGTACTTCACGTTTCCGTGGCTATGCTTAGCTCACGAAACATGAACTTGCAGCTACCTCTTTGAACCCTTTCACGCACCGCACGCACCGCTTGCACATTCAAGTACCCCACGAGGACTTGCAATCACATCAACTTTACGACCATGGCTACCCGCTTTCCCGAGGCATTCATGTTCACCTGGAGAACTTACGAGGGAAACAAACTTCTTGACATTTGCCAAGCCAGGGTTGGAGGTTTGTGGGCGAAGCACGCCACTTCTCACATAGTAGGGGAATACTCTGCCCTACCTCCCCTCAAAGTGGTATTCCTCGAAACCGACCGTGATTCCCGGAAGTCGCTACTGTGTCTCAGGGTTGCTCATTGAAGAGCCCAAAGTGACCGCTTTCAAAGCTGCGGTGGCAAAGCTGCGGTGGATGGCATCCTGACACGTTGCAATAAAACCAGCTACACACGGAAAAAAGCATACTAATGGCAAATCACGGGTGAATTCTAGGCGTTCCTTGTTCCATTGCTTGCAATATTCAGGGCATCCACTGTAGGCTAGAGGGAAAGGACCCCTCTTTCTGACTTTTTGGTTACCCCGCAAGGGGGTCGTCAAAGAGATGGTCCCATTTTGAACCTTGGTGGTCAATTAAATGGACCCAAATCTACTCGTAGCAGCAACCAAAATACGGGAACGAGTGTTGCACAGATTGTGACATGATGTTTGTACCTTTTTCCTTTTTGGGCGGCCTTCATTTTCCCCAGCGCCAACTCCACTTTCCGCAGGGTCGGAATTTATATTTTTCCCCAGGATGAAAGCATCAAAACAGTGAAGGGTGTTCCCAATTTTCAAGAAAGACCCGAAATGGGTACGTGTCAACCCGGGGACCCAAAATGGGAGCCGCTTCCAAGACGGTTTTCCTTGTGGCGCCAAACCAGAGGGCCAAAAGGGTACTTTTAAAAAGACACACACACACACACAGACGCACACCAACTGGAGTCTAGCCATTTGGCTGTGGCTCAAAAACATGTACCAAAATGGCACGTTGGTCAATAGAACCAAAGACTCAAGACCGCGTAACCCGAGTAGCCACACCCATTTCCTTCTTTGGGCATGAAGATAAAGAGGGTAGGCCTCGAACGAGTCTGGCCATGTTCCCAAAGCTGGCTTTAGCGCTGAGGAGATCGTGGCTCTCAGCTTTCGCGGCCGCCGTGCCGTTGTTCCTGCGCCTTTGGTTGCAAGTGACCCCCTTTGAACGCCCCCTTCGGAAGGACTCCAAAGGGGTGTGTCTTGTTTGACTTGGTACCTGTTGTTTTTCGTTTTGCAGGGCAACCAAGAGGAAAACCGCCGTTTCAGGTGGTCCCCTAAAAGCAAACAACCCCAACTAGCTTCAGGTTTTAAAATCTGTACCAGGGCTGTTACACTACCCTTTGTCTCAGGTATGTAAGGATGGCCATCCACCCGTTTGTGGGGAATCCAGACATCAGGGCTTTGACTGGTGACTGGGAATCATTGGCTTTGGGAACTAGGACTTGAGTGTAAATCTCTGCGAATACAAATTTGGTTTTGAAGAGCCAAATTCGACATAGGAATGGGCGTCTATACCACTTCGGTATCATAGAAATGGTCACTCTCCCGTGTGCTCAAGAGGGACCCGTGATTCCCCGTATTTGATCTTTGCTTTAGATATCACCTGTTGGTTGCCAGTTTGACATGGGGTGGTTGGTAAGTTTAAAGATGTCGATTTTGGGGACGGTGTTCCCAGACAGGCAATAATCTTTGGCTGCAGGTTGATTCATTCAGCCTTCGAAACACTGGGATCCCTTGCTTCCCCACAGTTGAGTCACATGAAACCATACAGGGCTCCCCCCCCCCGGGAAGTAGGCCCCCCGCCCCCAAATTTAGCCTCAAACTTACTCTGCCTTTGTTTTTTTAAAGCCTCGCAAGGCGCCCTTAAGAGGGCGCGGCCGTTTAGCTTTAACTTTGAAACCAGCAACACAGGGTACATACCGTGGATGGACGAAATCCGTTCGCACCGATTTAAGACCAAGGGAAACCATAAGGTTTCTTGGCATTTACGTAGGGGAATCGAATCATTCCAGGGTTTCGTAGGTGATGCAGGATTTCGTCCATCCAGGGTATCGTCGACAAAAGACCGCCCCGTGTCTCACGAAAGTTCTGAGCCGCAGGCTCAGCTACTCCTCCTGCGTCTCCTACGCCCACCTCATTACCTCCGGCGCCCAGGGCTACCCCGTGCGCGCCGCCGGGGGCCCTGACGTCTTGCTTTGGACGGACACTGCGAGGCTTTCTGCGGGCGACTGGGGAAAGAGGAAGTGAGGGAATTGAAGAAGTGAATGGACACTTATACTAACTGTACTAACTTATTCAAAGATCAGTCTGAAGAAAGATGATGGTGGTGTTACTGGCATCTCTTTTGACATTCCACTTTGATGTTTACCAAGTGTGAACCAACATGAAGCACGTTATTGTTTAATCCTGGGCAACAGCTGAGGAAATGTACTTCGGTCAAACAAATAAAAGCATGACTATGATTTGGCCACGGTTTTCCGCCCGCTTCACTCCAGGCCCCAGTACCCAAAACGGGATCGGGTGGAATGGGAACAACCTTGCTCCTGGCTACTTGGCCAGCGAGATGTGATAACAGTTGCTACCCCCCTACCATACTTTATGTTAGGGCTCCTTATGGCTTACAACAAGGCCTCTCATAAGCATAGGTGACCTCATAGACCATGTAAACCAGTGGAACCCATCTATTTCTATCCAAAGTAAGCAAAAAAAATAAGAAAAAAACAAAACAAAAACGGGATACCGATACAGTCAGGGGAGCCATACGGAGCCAGCGGCCAAAGGTGGTACTCACCTCCATGCACTTGGTGAGCAGCGGCATCACGGGCATCATCCTGCCCCTCCATAGCCCCATGACTGCAGTCGGGTTGAAGTCACCCGCTCGCACGGTCAAGTAGCTTTTCACATACGGTTAATGCTGGATGCTTCTTGGACGGACCTTCTTGTGTCTCCACAAAGGCAAAAAAATGACGCGTGCAGAAAAATGTGGAAGTCCGCAGAGAGGCAAAATCAAGCAGAGTGGCAAGTCCGGCTGATCTAAGTAAGACAAACACCCGTGGAAGGAAGGTGCATCAAAAGCCAAGGCTTGACAACCAGAGTTGCTAAGCCCTTACCAAGCGCTGGTGGCAACCGGCTCGACTCACTCGAAACAGTCGGTCCATGTACACCTCAGATCTCCGAGTAATGTAATGGGAACCGAGAGCCTATGTCACGTGGGATTCCTTCACCCAGTTGATGGGGAGGGCCTGTGATGATTTCCGGGGCCAAGGGCGATGCCGGGAGTTTGACGTTTGACCATTCCCAGGTCCGTTTTCTGTTGGCCATTTGTCCCATCCGACCGCCAATGAAGCCGGGGGTTGATTTCGCGGGCAGCTTGTGCTGAGTGAACCTGGTTGCCCACGCGAGTCAAATCCTTTGCCTTGTCCCTGTCCTCCCAGCTCTTGGACTTTCCTTGCGAATGGGAAGAACCACTCGGCAAGCAGTGGTTGCAATCTGCTGAGAAGGTGAGCTAGAGTGAAGCAACTATGCCATTCCTTTGGAGACCCGTCCGCCCTTTTCGATCCTTGAAACATGACAGGTAATGTACCTGTCATTTAATGGGCGTCGTGTAGACTTGCCTGTTGGAAAATGCCGCGCTGTTTCCAGCCAATTGAGCGTCAATTCCTTTGCGAGGGGTGATGTTTCCGTACATGTACTGGACTGACCTAACTCGAGGCAAGTGTCCGCTGATTATCCCTTCTGCGGACATCTCGGTGACGATCTTCTATCAGAAGATTGCCCCACGGCTTTTCAGCGTTGCAACATGTGGGGCTGTTTATTTGAGGCGAAGGATGCCTATTTTGGGGGTTGATTCAAAGGGAAACCAGAGTTCTTGGGGGTGCCCTATTTCAAGACAAACCCACAAAAGTTCTCAAATATGGTCTTGGGAGGCGGGCCATGTCAAAAGCCTGTTGCCCGCCACAGATTTGTTGTGGTAAGCCTCTCAACTCGGTTGAGATAGCATGTGGGTTGGAACCCTTTTTTAGGTTGGTGTGCAGGGAAGCCAACAGGCCGACTGTAAAAGCCGTTCCCGGCTTGCGGAATGTTAGTACCAAAGCCCCAGGTGAGAGAACCCATAAAGGCAGAAGTTGCTGACTTCAGAATGTTGGTTGAACCAAATCAAAAGGGAAGCACTGTGCAGAGCAAGCTCCTGCTTTAAGCGCAGCCGATGTGTTTATGTGAGGTTTGCATGCACAAGGAATTGTTGTGCGAGGCTGAGGCTCGATGAACAACATCCTGCACCAGTCGGGTGGTTTGTGATATTTGTTGACACCCTAAGCATCATAAGCGTCATTGTCCATTGAAGGGGTCAGGATCTTCATTGGAAATTGTTGGACCTCATTTCAAGGGCCTTTTTGGGGGGCCATTTGATGCGTCAGGGGCAGGATTTCATCTCGCAGTGCCGATCGATTCGCCGACAAGAATTCGTGAACCGTTTGCTCGATAAGAACTCGCGGAGGTGCTCAAAGCCTCACGGGCATGCCCCAGATACCAGGTGGTCCATGGCAAACAGTTTGAGGTGTCTTGTTTTGGGGGAATTAGTTCTGGCTGTCTTGTTTGCCGGTGTCTTGTTTTAGCCGTGGGTTGACAAATCATACCGGGAAGGTGTTTGGAGCTTACGGGGGGTCTCAGGATTAGAATGAGACCCAAAATTGCTTCCTTTTTGGAGTTGGTACTCTGAGGTTTGCTTGGTGAAATTAAAGGACAACCACCGTGTTGAGGCCGCCCGTCCATTTGGGTGGCTCTCTTTTTTTGAGAGTAGCCCCTTTTGGGTGCTTTTAACGGGAAACCAAAAGGAAGACCACGATTTTGCTGGGTCCCTAAACTTAAGGCACAGCCATATGTTGGCAGAATCAACCCTCAGAGTCTCAGAGTGTGAGCAACGTTGACATGCGCAGCACGCATTCATGAGCTAGGTCAAGAGTGGCTGCTCTTGCGAAGGGGATGGCCTGGAATAAATGTGGCCCCGGTGCCAGATAAAGGAAAGCCGCCGTGTGCCAAAGTGCAAAGTACTTGGCGGGCTAATACCAAATTGGTAAGTGGTTAGTAGGCTATTCACGCCCAAGAAACAGTTTGGACTTTTTGGGCCAATCTATTCAGGAACCGAGGCTGGGTTATGTATTTGTGTTTGTGTGTGTGTGTGCGAGTATGCAGCTTGTGCTTCGGGGGGGCCTTTTCTTCGAGCACGTCCAAACTGGTGGTTCCTTTAAAGCCACCAAACTCGGGGTGCCCCCAAAAAAGACACCCTCATGTTTGGACTCGCACACAATAGAGTCATCAAATTTGTGTCGTGTTGTGTGATTCTTTTCTTTTTTGTTGTGGGCGCTAAATAGCGACCACCTGTGTTTATTTGCCCAAAGGGGAAGCCACAAGAAATGTATTTTCTGTGGACTTTTTCCAGATTCCCGGTTTAGCGCCCACATCGTAAACTTCCATTTGGTTAAGAATATTCTTAATTTCCCCCTGTTGGTTTTAACGGGAATCTATCACCACTGGAAATATGTTTGTTTTTTTCCAGGGGTCTTAAGCAAATGGAAGTAAAGGCCTCCGCAGCCAGTCGATTGGTCCACTTTAAAATCGCCGAGGTCGTGGACATTGCCACTGCCGCGGCTGAGGATGGCACGCTCTCCCCAGAGGCTGGCAGCTCCGGGAACGCGTCTTTTTCTTCTTCTTTTTTCTCTGTTTGTTTTGTTGCTCTCGAAATGGGACAGGCTCAAACACATGTACCAAAATGGCACCTTGGCAAATGGAACCGATGACTAAAACCTGCGCAACCCTAGTTCTTTCATTTTGAGCCACACCCGAATCTACATTTTCAGGCAACCCTTGGTTGGTGGTTTGGATTGGTGGTTTGGGGAATTGAACATCTGGTGCTCGTAGAGGGGAAATGGGAAACCACCCCTGAACCACCAAACCATCAATCCAAAGCAGCAGTCAGAAAGAAGCTGAAATTTCGTGTAAAAGCCCGGGCTCCACGAATTGTCCCTCATCCAAATTCGGCCTGAAACAGCGCGTCGACAGGCGGTGGCCGCTACGGTGATGTTGGCGTTGCCGCTGAACACGCTGCTCGTGAGCTTGGTCTTCTACATCGTGGGATCGCCCTTCGGGCCGCAAGGAGTCTGCCGAGTTGAGGCTGTCTTTGTCGGCACGCGTTTCTTCTTTCCCCGGGTCACTCGAACGGAGGTGTCCTGGACATGTTTTCGATCTTGAGCATACTGAATGTGACACCAGAGTCTGGGCTCTGGGATGAGCTTGAAGCACTCTGAGATGTATGCCTGCTACTATGTTTATCGACTGATCTGTTCCCAAAAGGATTGGTTCGTGGCACAGCCAATAGCTGCTTGCCTGTCAATCTGTTGAAAGCTATGGCTAGAACTATTTTGTTTGGCAGCGGATCAGAGATTTGGGGCGTCTTGGAGGGCGCCCGTTTTTGTGGTTTTCACAAATCAAAACAAACCCCCAAAAAGAAAACTCCCATCTTCCGCGGCCCAGACAGATGATCAACTGTCACTGGGTCCAACCTGGGCTGATGGAACCGGCAGCTTTTTGTCAAGGCAAAAGGCCACGGTGGCGGTGTCCTACTTGCCCTACCCGGTGGTCGCCGGCTTTCTGGGCTCCATAGGCGGGCGAAGCGGAACCAGATGGAGACAGCCCATGCTTCATCTCGGGGTTGATTTCTTGGTTGAACCACAGTGATCTCCATTGCACCCCAAAAACATGCCATTGAATTTCGGGGTTGAATCCCCGGGTGTTTCTTTGTTTTCAACCATTGTTTGTTCACCTACCAAGTTCATTTCCCCAGAACGAGGTCGGGCCACGAGTTTAAGGCCCCGAAGCCTTGGAGTTTTGGGTGGGCCCCTCTCGCGTTGTTGCAACGTGGTCTGTCCCGAGTTTGTTTCGTGTCAAATGTTGCACGCAAAAGGGCAAGCAATCCGCAGGAATCCGCAGGAAAGCCATGGGTCAGGTATGTGGTGCGTAGCCATTGGCCAACCCAACGCCAAGGAATCCTATCCGCTGAATTGACGTGCCCATTCGCCCCTCTAGTCTCTGACGTCGGCATGTCGGTAAGCCGCAACAGTGGCAGTTGGATTCTGAATGTAGACTCCCTGTGACCCAGGAAATCCACTTGGGCCAGACAGTCTTAAAAACAAACTCCTTTGCTTTAACAGCGGTTTCGTCATGTTTATGCCGGCTTCCCCGGGAAAAGCGGCTGGTTGCCCACGGAAGAACACCACCAATCCAGGCGTTGGAGCCCATGTGACTTTGGTTTCCACATTCATGAAACCCTGATCCTTGGGACGATTCCGTGAGGAGCTGACATTCTGTTTGTCCACCGTTTGGGGCAAACGAGAAGGAAAAGCACCCAAGTTCCAACCACAAACACCAGGGGCTGAGACCGCCCGCTGTCTTAGATCCTCTTGGGGGAACAAGTCGAACTTTGTCCCTATCGTGGCTGGCCCGATTTTTTGGAGGCGAACCAGGGATCCCCTTGGGGAGGAAGTCACTGAGCCCCTCCCCAAACATCAGCGCCCGGATTGTTGGATCTCTCGGCAAACTTCGTGATACCAAGGGAATCCCCCAGTTAAGTTGTTTTGGAGATCAACCACAGGAAGGTATCACTAGCTTTGAGACGTGGTTGTTTCATCCAGCGGTCGCTCCATGATTTGTTTTGAGAAGGGCCAGCCAATGATAACTTCACTTTGTGGTGTAATTTTTGGGGAGGCATTGTGACAGACAGGGGCCCAATTTCTCAGGTGCCAGGGTACCCCTTACTCGGTGGTTTTGGATTGGTCACTTTTTTTGAACTGTTTTTTTGGTCTATTTTGTATGTTTTGGTCTATTTTGTATTTTTTGGTCTATTTTTTTGGAACGGGAAACCGGTCCAGTCCAATCAAGAGCGAAGCGAGCTGAACCCAGGCCTGGCGATTCTGCTGGGTTCCTTCGCGGTGCTCGAGGAGGGCATCTCCGGGTTTGGCGGCATCGCGCAGGCGGCTGGACATGGCGATTCGGATGGATGGCAGAAGCGGATTGGGTGATGTGTCGGGATAGGGGGACACCAACGAAAACGGTGGTGTCCCAACCAATAGCGGTGGTATTTCCTAACTATTCTTAAAACAGGGTACCCTCGAGAAGAAACACAAGCTCATGTGTCAAGAACACGCAGTTGTTGTTGGGTGTTTGCGAGTGTGCTTGTTGCAGGGGGAGAAACAACGTTGTGCTTCCTCCGCCCGGTTCCAGTTGGACATGGTTGAGAATTAATCGGGCGCCCCTCATGGCAGTTGTTGTTGTTTTTGTGTTTACTCTTTTTGGGTGCAGTGTCAAGAGAAGCGAAAAGCCACTGATTTTCAGGACTTCCCATTTGGAGGCACACCCAATTCAAGGAGGACATGGTGATATACCCCGCTTGATCGGAGACTCCTTGCTTTGTTCTTGATCACAATGTTCTCGGGGTAGCCCCGAATTGTGGATTGGTTTGTAAGTGGCTTGTATCCCGCAGATCAAGTTACCCGCCAATTGCTGCTTTGGATTGGTGGATTAAGGAATTGATCCGTCTTTTGTTTGCGCATGGGGAGGGTAACGAGCGCCCACACCAAGCCACAAGTCTGGCGTAAGTTCGATTTAGATGGGAAGTTTGCGAAGGTTCTGAGATCAAATAAGGGGGGAGAGAAGGCCTCAACATTTGGAGTCTGTTTGCGAGGGGTGTAGACTCTCTGATCTTTGGGTGGCTCGCCTTGCAGATCGAGCTAACCACGTTACACAAACATTTTTGTTATTTGTCAACTAAGTCGAGGCCTCCGAATCGGTTTCAATGCCAGCTATTCGTGACAGGCGCGCATACTGGGCCATCCGAAAGTGCAGAACCATACCCCTCGCTCCCACATATTCTCACGCTAGACATGGCTATGACATGGCTTTCTAGTAGGGACCTTGCTGGAGATGAGATCCCTATGATGTCCAATAAAGGGTCCCCGAATAAAATTCACACTTACCCCGCAAACTGGTTGGAGAGTGAAGGATATAGCAGGGTTTTCAGGGTCAGGTTCCCAAGCACATGAAGACTGTGAAAGGGACTGGATACTCAAAGGGGCATGTCACGCAGAGGGTTAGCAACCTCGTGGCCCATCGCGGGTTCAGAAATTGTCCGTGGGTTGAAACCAAGGCAACTGACCTCTTTTTTTTGCCATTGGTGTCCTTTTTAGGTTAGTTTGGATCGAAATTGATAGGCTTATTGCCCCATTTACCAGGGAACCCCATCTATTTTTCCCACAGGTCACCTATGCTTTTTGCCCCCTGCTGGGTGTTTCTCAGGCGGCGATGGACAGGCCTTTCCCACTGACCTGTGCCGCAGGCAGGGCTCCTTCGAAAGCCCGAAGCGAATCGACCGGATCTGACTTCTTTTAGTTTCCCCTTGGTCCGCTGAAAGGTCTTGGCCCCCAAAGGGTCAACCTTTTAGTTCTGGGTCCTTTGGTCAACTGACAACTGTTCATGTTTCGAGGATTCACGTTTTTGCGGATGTGCTTCGGTTCCATGTGAGGTCCATTTGTAAACTCTGCGGATGCCTTGCCAATGCCGCGTTATGCGGGATCCCTTGTGCTTGGTATGTTCCTGGTAGGCGGATTTGGCATGGATCTCATGACACAAACATGCATGGAAGTAGCACTCGCTCGGTAGGCGGAGCACGTTTTCTTTGAGAGGGAACGATGTGTTGAAAGAAGACCCGGCGGCAACCTGCAGGTAGTTGTAAGCCACCAAAACTATGGTGGAAGGTCTCTAAGTAGGTTATCAACAGGATTGAAACCCAACGTGACGCAACCTGCGCCGAAAAAGTAAGGGCGGACAGATGTGCTCTTTGTTGCTGCATTCAAGTGGATTTCTCGCACAATGTGACTGCCTTACACATGGTGACGGTGAGATGACCGACTCTCATTTGGACCCTTAACAGCTTGTTAATTCAGCAACGTGACTTTCTTGCAGGGGCTTTGGGTTTTCCGTCACTGTCCAGTTTGACTTTCCGCAGGGGGTTCCGTTTCTCGAATCCGTTCGGCCAAGTGGTTCCAAGATGTTCCAAGCCAAAGGGAAGCCACCCGAATGTTGGGCCCCCCGATTGGGACACAGAATGGGAGCCCCAATAGCCCCAATTTGTTAATAGAGTGTTCCTGGGTTTAGCGTTCATCACTCAAGGGAACCGCCCCCACCTCAGATGGATCAACCTCAGTTTGTTAATAGAGAACCCCTAAGTTTAGCGATTCATCACTCAAGGGAACCGCCCCCACCTCAGATGGACCAACCCCAGTTTGTCAATAGAGAACCCCTAAGTTTAGCGATTCATCACTCAAGGGAACCGCCCCCACCTCAGATGGATCAACCCCAGTTTGTTAATAGAGAACCCCTAAGTTTAGCGATTCATCACTCAAGGGAACCGCCCCCACCTCAGATGGATCAACCCCAGTTTGTTAATAGAGAACCCCTAAGTTTAGCGATTCATCACTCAAGGGAACCGCCCCCACCTCAGATGGATCAACCCCAGTTTGTTAATAGAGAACCCCTAAGTTTAGCGATTCATCACTCAAGGGAACCGCCCCCACCTCAGATGGATCAACCCCAGTTTGTTAATAGAGAACCCCTAATTTTAGCGATTCATCACTCAAGGGAACCGCCCCCACCTCAGATGGACCAACCCCAGTTTGTTAATAGAGAACCCCTAAGTTTAGCGATTCATCACTCAAGGGAACCGCCCCCACCTCAGATGGATCAACCCCAGTTTGTTAATAGAGAACCCCTAAGTTTAGCGATTCATCACTCAAGGGAACCGCCCCCACCTCAGATGGATCAACCCCAGTTTGTTAATAGAGAACCCCTAAGTTTAGCGATTCATCACTCAAGGGAACCGCCCCCACCTCAGATGGATCAACCCCAGTTTGTTAATAGAGAACCCCTAAGTTTAGCGATTCATCACTCAAGGGAACCGCCCCCACCTCAGATGGATCAACCCCAGTTTGTTAATAGAGAACCCCTAAGTGTAGCGATTCATCACTCAAGGGAACCGCCCCAGCCTCAGATGGATCAACCCCAGTTTGTTAATAGAGAACCCCTAAGTTTAGCGATTCATCACTCAAGGGAACCGCCCCCACCTCAGATGGATCAACCCCAGTTTGTTAATAGAGAACCCCTAAGTTTAGCGATTCATCACTCAAGGGAACCGCCCCCACCTCAGATGGACCACCCCCAGTTTGTTAATAGAGAACCCCTAAGTTTAGCGATTCATCACTCAAGGGAACCGCCCCCACCTCAGATGGATCAACCCCAGTTTGTTAATAGAGAACCCCTAAGTTTAGCGATTCATCACTCAAGGGAACCGCCCCCACCTCAGATGGATCAACCCCAGTTTGTTAATAGAGAACCCCTAAGTTTAGCGATTCATCACTCAAGGGAACCGCCCCCACCTCAGATGGATCAACCCCAGTTTGTTAATAGAGAACCCCTAAGTTTAGCGATTCATCACTCAAGGGAACCGCCCCCACCTCAGATGGATCAACCCCAGTTTGTTAATAGAGAACCCCTAAGTTTAGCGATTCATCACTCAAGGAACCGCCCCCACCTCAGATGGATCAACCCCAGTTTGTTAATAGAGAACCCCTAAGTTTAGCGATTCATCACTCAAGGGAACCGCCCCCACCTCAGATGGACCAACCCCAGTTTGTTAATAGAGAACCCCTAAGTTTAGCGATTCATCACTCAAGGGAACCGCCCCCACCTCAGATGGACCAACCCCAGTTTGTTAATAGAAAACCCCTAAGTTTAGCGATTCATCACTCAAGGGAACCGCCCCCACCTCAGATGGACCAACCCCAGTTTGTTAATAAAGAACCCCTGGGTTTAGCGATTCATCACTCAAGGGGGTGTGTCTCAATGGGACGGAAGCCAATAACATGGGCGTTCAGGTCCTCAGGTGGTTTTCAGTAGCACCCCACCAACAGTTCAAGCTTTCTCACAAGAAGACACTCGTCCCAGCCCCCAACAACTGCTTTTTCCCATGTCCAACCGTGAGCGGGACCCTGGTCTGTGGGAAAAAAAAAGAAGCAATAAACAACATCCGGCAGCCCATTTCGAAGCCGAATCCGCTGGTCAGTTATGGCCATCGGCTCGATGTTGCTTAAGTACGCGGGGCTGCCAGCGCGCGCCGGGAGCTTCAAGATGTCGATGGTTGGTTGCTGGGTTGGATGGTGTTTCTGCTTGTAAAATACGATGCGCAAATCAATGTTTGGTAAATTGCGTTCCTATACTGACTGGTGATTCGGCATTCTCTGAAGGGCACAATATATTAGGTGTCCTTTTTGAAAAAGAGAGAATACAATGCCATCGATAATGTGGCAGTTGTTCGATCAGACCTCTTGATTGTTGCTCAAAAGGTTGTGCTTGTTGGTTGGTTGGTTGGTTGGCTGGCTGGCTGGCTGGCTGGCTGGCTGGCTGGCTGGTTGGTTGGTTGGCTGGCTGGCTGGCTGGGTGGTTGGTTGGTTGGTTGGTTGGTTGGTTGGTTGGTTGGTTGGTTGGTTGGTTGGTGCGTTGTGGTGGGTTGGGTTGTGTTGGCGTGGGTTTGCTTGGGTTGGTTGGGTTGGTAGGTTGGTTGGTGGGTTTTTGTCCACTTTGGGGTGTAAAGGAAAACCATTTCTGGGTGGTGCTCTTATTTGGTTGCGGGGAATCTCTTTTTGGGCCAACACGGTTTATCGTGTCTAGAAGCGGGTGGCCACCAGCAGTTAAGCGTACACCTTGGGCGTGGAGCATGACAGTCCTTTTGAGTTGCAAAACATGAGGGCTGGCCCTCTTCAAGCCTGCGAGCTTTGTTGGCCCTGACCATTTGGGTTAAGGTCGTGGATTGACTGGGCCAAAGGTGTCTACCAAATTGTCCCTTTTGAACAAGCAGGATTTTCAACATGTCACTTTGAGCCTCGCCTGTCACAAATTGGGACATGTTCCCGGTTCAGCTACCACCATTAAACAACCAATATAACAGCCATCGTCTACCATGGATTGTCATCCAATTGGGTCAACTCTCTTAATGGGGCAAGGAACCCCAAGTGGAAGTTGCTGGGCAGCAGTTCGGCGCAGCTCACGAGTCATACACGAGTCCTGGTTCGGCAACGACGAGCAGAACCCACGTGTGGAAGGTTGCGCCCTGGGCGCCTGAGAAGAGGCAGAGACCTCAACCATCCGACCGCCCGTTTGACACCCCAAGCAAGGAGCGTGCCACGGGTGCAAGGGCATTGTTCACAGTCTAGGTTTTTTAGTAGTGCCCTTTTGCCCTTTTTTGGGGGAGGGTTCCCCTACAAGAAAAGACAGCAAAAAGGGTACCAACTTATTCTAACCTCTCTGGAGGACCTAGCAGTCTCTGTGCATCGCCATTGTTGGACTCCTCTAGGTCCTCACGATGGACAGACCAGAAACTGCATTGCCAGAGCAAGTTGAGGGGGGGAGGGGCATTCTTGGGGTTCCAGGCTGGGACCTAGAGGCAGCTAGAAGCATCACCTTTTCATTGAGTCTCCCTTTCAGGAGATGTTGAAAGACAAAGTTTGGTTTGTCTTGTTTTGAGGTTTCCCCTTGGATGGTTTTGGGAGGCTACAAGACCCATTTGAGACAACCCAAAAGGGAAGCTCGCGATTTCTCGTAGGTCCTGGCGGTGCTCCCAACGCTCACCACCATGGCGCGGGCCCAAGGTGCTTGCAAGAAGCAAACGGGGTGACCACTCCATTATACACTCCGCCTGTTTGAGGGTGCTAAATGAATTGGAGCGTGTGGGCAGCCAAAAAAGAAGTGGGGAGCCAGGCACTTGGATGTTCTTCCTACTGAGTAAGTAAGTAGGATATAACCGAGCTTAGACCAGGGGTATATGGGGTTTCATTGGCTTATAAGCATGGGGAGAACCAACCTACTCAGTAGGATGAGCATCCAAGTAATGGGAGCCGGATTTATAAACCTTGGTAGATTTTGTTCGGGGGTGCCCCTTTTTTTTGGGTGGGGATTCAGACTACTTTGGGAGAACGGTTTGTGAATGCGGGGTCAACATTCCCAACAGGCAGCCGAGCAAAATGGAGGTTTCCAATCACCAGCCAGTTCAGAGCTGTTGCTTGACAAGCCCGCTAAATAGATCATGAACATGAGGGGCAACAAGGTGCAGAGGTAAACTTTGTATAGTATAGTACAGGCAACTGCTAATATGTCTTAGTAAGTTGTAGGCAGGGCTAAGCAGCCGACAGCTTGATTATCGCCAACCAGCCTGACCCAAGTAGCGGCCATGGAAAAGGAAGTCTCCCCAACAATTTTCGGATCGAGGGAGCGGAAGCTGCCGCTTGGCAGAGGTTGTCTTCTGGCTCTATGTGGTCTTCTGCGGTGTAAGCCTGGAGGAATGGCGAGAGGACGACCCCTTTAGCAAAGGGAGCGACCCCCCAATTGCCTGGTTTTCCCTTCCCTAACCCCGAATGAAGTATGTTTTTTTTCAGTCCTGCGTTTCTCAAGAACCCCTAGGACTAGGAGTCGAGGGTGGCTCAAATGTTGCGCAAGATGCGGCATGTTTTGCATTGCAGGTTCCACTCCGTCACCCCCTTCATGAAAAACCAAGAAACATCGACCAAGAGTTGGCGTCGGATTTTCGGGTCAACAGAAAGGCCTCTAGGCAAAAGCAAAGCCAGAAACTCCGGAGCCCAAAATCCACCAGGATCCTACAGACAAGCGGCTCATTTTGGTCAGAACTGTGGACTCTTGCAGCCAAAATCATACAGGTTTGACCCTACACGGCATGTTGCTCATTTTGGTGTGTCTTCCGGTAGTTCGCGAGGAAGTAGCCGTTTTGGAGGTACTCTTTGTGAATATTATTTCAGAGTTCTGAAGGTCGGTCAAACATATTAAAAGGAAACAACCTTAAACGTGAGTCCGGATTCCTGGCGGAATTGGGATACCCGTGTGTGGTGGAGCAAGCGTCGGTGTCTTTAACTCGTCAGTTCTGTTGGCTGGGCAAGCACGGCATGTTTTTCCAGAATGGTTTATTAAGGCCCGCCAGAATGGGAATCTCTGTTTCTGGCAGGACATTTTGGTTATGTCCATTTCAGGCCAAAAAGGGACTGCCTAAAGGGTGAGAGTAGTTAGTACATGGTCAGTGGCTATAGCGCGCCAAAGCCGTGGTTGTAACTTCCGTTTCTAGGGCCGGCAAAAAGGTCAACGGTTGTGGTGGGTTTGTTGGGAGGCGGGGTGCGACCGCTAAGCTGTTCAGAAGGAATACCCCCTTTCGGTGTGTTGGTTGCCATTGCTTGAGCTCCTTTTTGGGCTGGATGTGTGCAGGTTAGGCAGATAAGGAGACACCACCCCCAAAGTCATCAGCAAGTGGACATGTTTTTACAAAATGGGCTGCAAAATGTGGTTGTTTTCCCTTTGGCTTCAATCCCAACACCGGGCCCCAAAGGCGTACCCTCAACACTCCCTAGGCCGGGTTGCTGATCGGCAGGAACCCACACCCCGCCCAGCATGAAAGTTGCCCTTCCGAGTTTATTGTTGGAGTTGGTTTCTTTGGTTTCGGCGCGGGTTTCCGCCTTTGGAGTTGGTTTCTCTGGGTTCAGCTGGCTGCATGGAAGCCAAGGGAGCCCCGTCAGTCAAGCCAAGAAAGTGCAGACATCCCATGGTGTCACACCGCATCAAACGGACCCTCAAACTGGGCCAAACTGGGCCAAACTGGGCCAAACTGGGTGCGTTGAGCGGATTTTGTCCATCCACAGTAACCCCTTCCATCCAATGCGGAAAGCCCATTGCGAGTCGTGCGACTGGTGCCTCCAGGACGGTTGGCTTTTTCCCTACGCCAGCTTCGAGCCCTTCTGGTCCCTTTGGTCCGCCGGAAGCCCCGAGAATTTTCGGGGCCTCGGGGAAGAGCTTCCGGATGTTCAACCTGATTGGCAGGTTGTATCTGAAGGTTATAGCTGGCGCAATGGGGTTAGTTGGCTTATGTATATAAATATATTGTCTATGTTGAGTCCCCTTGGCAATTTCAGACTCCAACCACTAGACTTGACTAGCCACTATCTTGCGGCATAGAGTTGTTTTTCCTCAGCAAGCAGCAGGGATATCCCCAGTTAGCAGCTTGGGGTACACCCCGATAGATCAAGGGTACCAAACACGGACCCGTGAATCTTGCTTCGCCGTCTGCCTTCCATGAAAACCGTGATTGGACCAACGACGGCTGCCTTTTTGATGAACTGGACAAGCTCCCTGCAGGCGGGGCATATCCTTTGAGGACAAGAATCTCTGTACCAGGAGTTTCCCTGTGGACACTCAGGCTGCTTTCCTTTGGCCCCCCGCTCTCACGTGCCCAGTTCGGGCTTGTTTCCAAACAACCTATTGGAACCTTCTACACCACATTGGGCCTTGAACGGTCCGCTTTGGCTCAGTTGTTCAAACCTGTTTGACCGTTTGCTTCGTTAGTTAAGGTCCAAAAAGATTTTAGCTGTTTATGTCCAGCTCCTTTTGGCAAGCGCCCTCGCGATGGTTAACCCAAACTTGCCAGGGTCCGCTGAAAACTGTTGGATTGTCAATAGCATTCGGATACGCAAAGCATGGATCAGTGAAAGATGCCCATGGGTTTCCCAAACTAGGGGACCCCCCCGTTTTGGATGATTTTAAAAGGACGCCACCCCTGCTTGGAGGGGCCCCGATTTTGAGAAGCACCCACAGTCGTTTGAGGGGTTGGCATCTTGTTTAGTAGAATCATTGAACCTTGGCTTGTTGCATGTGCAAAAGCTGCAGCGCATGGTGATGTTGACTCAGTGCATGGCATATTGCATGCACATGGTTTCATTCAGTTGAACCCTTGCTGTGAGAGGAGAACCACTTGGACCCCTATTGAATTGTGCGCTCGTTTACTTCCATTTTCATCAGAGTAGATATGTTGATATGTCCCCTGCTGGTTTTCAAAGGAAACTATCGCTACTGGTCATCAATTGGCCGCCGCCCCCCCCCCACAAGCGGTGATTGATCCGGTCGACTTCGTTGCGCTGAGGATCAGAAGCCCCTGCTGGTTGTCGGGAGCGGGGGAGGGAGGGTGGTCAGCTTGGTCAGGCGCCTATCGCTCGTACGGGTTGGATGTCGGTTTAGGGTGGTCCTCTGTCGGTTTGGGGTGAGGAAAATTATCGAGTGATCAGACATGACCAAGGATACATTCTGTCATTTGATGAGGCGATGTTGCGCACACAGAATCATGTTCGCCCTGCCTTTTATCGTGGTCTCACCAAATCCCACGAGAACGGAGGAGGAGCATGGTATGGTCAAGGTTCAGCTTAGCATTTGCCGGTGTCTTGTTGCAGAACTAGAAAGCCTCGTGTCAACACAATGCAACGTTGCACGACAAGTATTGGCCCACTGGATGAACCGCAGATGTTCTTCGTTGGCCCAATCATCGGGTGGTCATGATTTGTTTGGCCGTTGGTAGCTGTTGTTTGGGGTGACTCCAAGCTCTTGCTGAAGCATAGGACCTCGTTGGTTCAGGCAGGCATGATGGATTTCCATCGACCAGTGCGAATTGACCAACCATCTCCAACCAACTACTACGTAAACACGGGTCGTTTGTTGCAGTGTTAAAGGATTGCCATGATGTTCCCTTGGTCTAATATATATTATATTGGGCCCTCAAGTGATACAAGGGACTACCTTTTACATGCTTTATCTTGCAAACAGCTCACAGGCCACTCACAGCCATGCACACCCGAAGCAATCGCAGCGATTCACGTCCTACCAGGCACATGAAGTGTGGCTTCGAAGCGCCCTTCAACTCTATACCTGGGAAGCGTGTGGATGTTGCAGTCGCAAGGACACCACTTCAGGGTGTTTGTAGTATGCACTCCCTTCCTGCGGTTTGTAGGGCAGAATTCTGTCTGACTCGTGTCAACACACGTGGTCTTTGACTGAACCAGACTATTTTCTTCTGGAGCTTTGTGACTGCGAGGGTTGTGTTTGCTGATTTGTAGGCATCCCGGGACTGGTTCTTTGGATTCGTTGTTTGCACTTCAAGCCGGACAGCGGAGACAATTTCTACAGCATCAATTCAAGCCTGCCATTTGACCCACGTTCAGTTTCAACGCCTCCGAAAGGTACAGGTGATTTGGGAAATGGTCCAAAGCGCAGGCATGGCCGGCCGAGTTTGGCCCCCTGGATCGAAAGAACCCGCTTTTGCATGGGACTTGAGTGGTCACGCGGAGTTGAGCCCTCCATTGCTTCATTCTCAGGGAATCAAACACTGGCTTCGGCTCTCGGCTCCCAGCGGTTTCCTGTGGGCTTGCTGTAAATCAAACCAAAAAACACACCCTTTTACCTTGGTGCATTTTGCCAAGGGATGTTAGGACTTTCAATTTTTGCCAACTAACCAGCACCCGACTACTGCCCAAACGGCAGTAGATAGAATTTTCCCAAAAACGACCGTAGTTAGAAAAACTATTGTCAAATATTTTATTTGCGGGATGCCCATAGCCTAAGTTCTGCTAGCTACTGTTTACAGCGGGGAGATGCCATAGCGGGGGCGGTGGCAATCAAGGGGTGGCAGCAAGTGCAGCAAGCGCCTCACAGCGTGTCACCCCTGTCACCCCGTGTAACCTGTGTGTCACCTGCGTGTCACCCCGTGTCGCCTCCGTGTCGCCCCTGTGTCACCCCGTGTCGCCCCCGTGTCGCCCCCCCCAGAACGACAGTAGATCGCTGCGAACTACTGTCGTTTGAGCGTGTCACCCCGTGTCGCCCCCGTGTCGCCCCCGTGTCGCTCCGTGTCGCCCCCGTGTCGCCCCCGTGTCGCCCCGTGCCGCCCCCGTGTCAGCCCGTGTCACCCCGTGTCGCCTGCGTGTCACCCCGTGTCGCCTGTGTGTCACCCTGTGTCACCGTGTCACCCCGTGGTCTTGTTTTTCACTGTTTGGGGCAACATGAAACGACCGTAGATCGCGGATCTACTGTCGTTTATTTTATTTTCGGAACTACTGCCAAATACCCGGTAGTTCCGAAAATACAGTTTAGACGGTAGTCGGAGGGTGCTGGAATGGGTTTTCCATTAAGTCATGTAATAGTTAAAACTTTTCGCAGGGGAGCAGAAAGCAACCGAGTCGAAATCGCAAGCCGTGGGATTTAATCCTTTTCGTTTCCTTGAAACCAACGGGTTCCTTTTCGTTTGGGAAATTTCATCCTTTGGGTTTTCCGAATTCGTGGCCTTTCCCAGGAGCCTGTTGCCGCCCCGGATCGCCACCTTTCTGGGTGCGAGGCTCATAGGTGGACTGCCGGGATGAACGGTTTGCCCCAAAGTGGGGTCCTCGATTTGCTGGAGGAATATGGGTAACGGTCAAAATCCCGTACCCTCAGTGAACATCCCAATCCCCACTATAGACTAAAGTGGGTTGTGCACCTACCCCAAAATGGTACCATTGGTTTTGACCCACAGCCATATGTGTTCTGTTTTTTCATAGGGGAGCCTTCAAAATGATGGCTTTCCGAACTCTTGGAGTCCAGTTTTCCCCTGGTGTCCCTTTACAACCACAAAAAGGGGGTACCTTCAAAAAATGACACCCATATGTAATCTCGTTGAGGTTTGCTAGACATCACCTCCCGCCCTCCCTGGGTAGGCGATGAATCTGAATATCTTCCCTGGGCTTGAATGGATCTCATGCGCCCAATTCAGAGAGAATGCACCCCTTCATTGATATAGGGGGACTGGGCTCCTTTTCATGATGCATGAGCTGATTTCATTGACGTCCGCGCTGAGCCTCGCTTAGACTTGAAAACTACAACTGCGGTCCAGGTGGGCACGCAAGGACAGGACAAGATCGCCACACCAAGGCCTCGGCTTTGTGCTGGTCCTGTCTCTGACCTTGCGCATTGCCGGCATTGAGGCAAGCCCCCGCCGGGGGAAGGTTTCACTGGGGTGTTGATCTTTGGACAGCTGTCGGAGTTTTCTTTCAAGACCTGAAGGCTAATTAGATGATTTGGAGAAGCCGACCTACTAATTGGTTGGCAACCTGCAAACTTTTGGCAAACTGCGAACTGCAAACTTCTGGCTAGTTAATTGCAGTCAGGGCTGAAGCTGCACCGAGTATGCCCATGTTTATGTTCCGGGTGTGCCCATAGTCGGGACTTGATTGAAAGTGTGTTTGAAGCGGAAAACATCGGGCACTTTTTGAGGGCTCCATATATGATATGTCCGTATTCTCCTGCTCTGGGTACTGACGTACGTTCGGTCTCTGAGTTGTTTTCAAGTGTGTCTAGCGGAGTTTGTTATGATTGGTTGCTGAGCCAGTTTCCCAGTTGTGCGGCCAATGCAGAATCTGTGTCAGCAAGCCTATGCCAAGCTCAAATGCAGGTACTGTGTGCCATGGACTACCGAAGCGGTGGTTCCCTAAGCATCAGTGGGACAAACAAAAATGAGGGTGTGGTTTGTTTGATGTTTGAGTGAAGGGTATGTGTAGAAGCCTTCGAAACAAATGAGGCCCGAGCATATGTTCTCGAGGGTCAGCAGGCCTTTATAACATGGTTTTACACGTTTCCCTTTCTCTTAGGAGAAGGGGTTGGGTATGGTTGGGTAGTGGAATCCGTCTACACGGAACTCACGGGACTTTATGCAGAGCTACCCCAAAGACTCCATGAAGCGGTATCTGAAGATCAGGGAAGACAGCTTTGCCAGCGATCGATCAAAATGTGAGCATTGTGAGTTTGCGTCGAGATGTCCGTCATTTACTTCATGTAATTCACTAGTGTTTCACGCGCGTGTTGGTGTTTTTTTTTTTTTAAAGAAGGAAGATGCGGGACATCCTAACGTCGGACTGAATACACCCCTGGCAAGTAATTTTGACGCTGGCGCAATCTGGCGCATATGTTTGTTGAGCGGGGGGGCCAACACCCAGCATGCTTCAACCTGCGGGGTGTGGAGCGGGCTGCAAAGAAGGAGGAGTGCTGCAGCCCCGCGGCCCGCCACGGAAGCCAACAGTCCCTTTACTATCAGCGCGGATGTCCAGCCTCGAGTCAGGTTCCGGGGTAGCTTTTGGGAGGGTACCGTTTTACTAAGTCTCACGCGCTTATTCTCCGACATATTTGATACATGCCTGGCACATAAACAGGGAGGCATTCTCTCAAGCTTATGCTGGAGGATACAGCAGAGATTCCACACAAGAAATGGCTCGCGAAAGCCACTTCAGTGCTGTGGCTAAATTGAATGGCAACAGGATCAGGAGCAGAGGGCCTATTGTTGGCTTTTGGTTTTGACACCCAAGAGTTATCACCACGAATGCTTCCGGGATTCATTATATGGGGAAGTCTGTCGGAGGTCTGGTTCTATGCAAGCATATTCCCCAGAACAAGTCTTTAAGTCCGTAGACCCCCCCCTTCCCCTGGGATAGGCGGGGGGTGGAAGTTACGGCACTTCGACCCACTGCGAGCCCCGGGTTTCGGGGTCAGGGATCTACGGGCTCGGCCATGAACGTGGACGAGGAGGCATCGAGTGAACCGCGAGAGTCGGGTTACCCTCCCTAAAGGCAGAAGGGGACTGGAAGACTGCAGTGCTTTTGGGGAGCCACCCGATTTTGCCTTTTCCATGATTGTTGCAAGAAGGGTGTTTTGAGGTCCCTTTTCCCTGACAGAAGATCCCGAATACAACTGAGTTTGACACAAAGACCAGAAAGTTGATGAGACCCTAGGGCTTGATACAGTTTTGAATTGTAAGGTTTATGGACTGTGGCTGTCAGACTCGAACGACAAACACCTGCTTGCAACTATCCCTGGGACTCAGTGGATGTGTCTTGTTTGGGGTACAATTTGAAGGGCAAGGGAAGCTGTAGCCACTTGTGAGAATCCGCTAGTTTTGAGACACACCCCAGTCGGTTTGACCTTCAAAGGTTTTGTCGTGTCGGCGTTTTGCCTGTTCAGCATTCTGATCTTTGATGAAATTGCCAGAAACCCATCACATTTGAAGGGGTGTTCAAAAAGAATCGGTTGGTATCCAGCTTTCGCACACTTAGCTGCCTAACACATACTTCTAGAAGGGGCAGGATGCTTAGAAACTGGTCGATGAACGTAGTTGAACGCCCAAAGCAGGAAACAATGAGGGTTGATCACCTATCCTGCCTTCAGTTCAGCCCCAGTACTCCAGTTCTGGCAACCCTGCGAAAATGAGGTTGTTTGGACCGAAAACGGTCGGTTGACCTTAAAACTCACCCACAGGTCATGGGCCTCCAAAGTGGTGGAGCTACGACAGCAAGCGATGACACTTCCAAAATCTCTCAGGTCGCTGCTTCTACTAGATCCCCCAGTAGTGCCCTTGTACCAACCTTTTTGGGGGAGGGTTCCCCTACTAAAATAGACTACAGTTAAAATAGGATACCCTTATTCTAAGCTCACTACTGGAGACCTAGTCTATCATCTTGACTGTGATTGAGTCCTAAGTCGGATGTGTTGAGACCAAGTCTCGTTGCCAGGACCAACGCACGGCAACGCATTGCCCTTCGTCTACTAAGGTAGAGTATCACGACAACAGTCACAGTGGAATCCGTCAGGGTGCGTTCGAACCTTTGCACGTCATCCGCCGTAGATGGCGGGGTCCTATTCCTGGATACGGCAAGGATAAGCCAAGGATACGCAAATACAGATCTATTTAACATGAAACCAATTGTGAGTGAATCGGCTTTTCCGGGAACGGCAAGCATCCCTTGGCTTATTGAACACTTCTGGATTCATGAATGAATGGCATCCGTGTGCAGCGGGCAAGAGCAAGGGGTCTTCGTAAGTATGACGTCCTACGTTAACGGTGTTTAGAAGCACACTGCTATCTTTGCAACAGGGTACTAAGTGGTCTTATCGGGCATTCACATGGATCGAGAGCAGTTTTCCTGATTATTGTCACCGCTTTTTTTCTGCTTGAGAATGGTTCGCGGGAGGGATGCCATATTTATTTATATTATGTTCATACATGTGCATACATACATGTTAAATTACACCAGCAGAGACCCCAAACAGTTGAGGGCTGACGGGCGAGCACAAACATGCCAACAGCTTGTGGCTTTCTGAGCTTCAACACGGATGAATCAAAATGATGCAGTCGTGAACCTGGCGCGCGTTGCGTTGCTGCTGCTGGCGTGCTTCGCGCTTCAGCACCGCGCCAGAACTGAGGTTGGGCAAGCGCGCGCGATGGCGGGCAAGTGTGGCCGCGCAAGCACGCAGTCACATGGGCAGTTCAAACACACATGTCCAATTCAGACACACATGTGTGTACACGTGGAACACACATACGTATACGACTGAAACAGTATACATTCACCTGCGGCACACGCATAAATGTGTTGAGCTGGAAAACAAACATGTGCTTGTTGGAAAGCACACACACACATGTGCAAACGTGGAACGCACATATGTGTTCACTTACGACACGCTAATGCGTTCACGTGGAACACACATGTGTGTTCACTTGGAACACAATGAAACGCGTGTCCAATTCAGACACACATGTGTGTACACGTGGAACACACATGCGTTCACCTGGAACACAAAGACGCGCAATTAAAGCACACATGTGTGTACGCGTGGGACACACATATGTATACCACTGGAACACAAACATGTGTCCACCTGGAACACCGCGTGTGCGATTAAAGCACACATGTGTGTACATGTGGAACACACATATGCGCACACGTGAGCAAACATAAATGCTCACCTAAATCGCACACACATGCGCGCACCTCGAAAACAATCATGCGTTTTCTGGAGCGCATACATGTGCACACCTGGAGAGCAAATATGTCGTCAGATGCCAAAAAAAGTTCACCTAGCACATACTAATGTGTTCACGTGAAACACACATCTGTTCACCTGGAACACACATATGTGCACACGTGAACACGCATATGTGCACACGTGAACACTTCACATATATGTGCACCCGGAACACACACCCGTGTGCTCATCTGATAACAACCATGTGTTCTCCTGGAACACAAACACGTGTCCAATTGGAACACGCATGTGTGCACACGTGAACACACATATGTGTACACGTGGGAGACGCAAATGCGCACACGTGAACACACACACACATGTGCACACGTGGAACACACACATGTGTACTGCACATGTGAACACACACATTTATGCGCGCGCGGAAAACACAGACACACACGAGTGTTCATCTGATAACAAACACGTGGTCTCCTGGAACACAACCGTGTGTCTAATTGGAACACAACGTGTGTACACGTGAACACACATATGTGTACACGTGAACACACACATATTTATATATATATATGCGCACCCGGAACACACACACACACGTGCGTTCATCTGAAAACAAACATGTATTCACCTGAAACACAAACACGTGTCCAATTGGAACAAACATGTGTGGACACATGAACTCACAAATGTGTACATGTGGAACACACATATGTGTGCAAATGAACACACATACATGCGCACGCGGAGCAGACACACACACACACACACACGCGTTCATCTGATAACAAACATGTGTCCTCCTGGAACACAAACACGTGTCCAGTTGGAACGCACATGTGTGCACGCGCGAACACACAATGTGTGCCGTGAACACACATACAAAAAAGTGCACGCGGAGCAGACACACACACACGTGTTCATCTGATAACAAACATGTGTTCTCCTGGAACACAACCGTGTGTCTAATTGGAACACAGACGTGTGTACACGTGAACACACATATGTGTACACGTGAACACACACATATATACGCGCACCCGGAACACACACACATGTGTACTGCACATGTGAACACACACATTTATGCGCGCGCGGAAAACACAGACACACACGAGTGTTCATCTGATAACAAACACGTGTTCTCCTGGAACACAACCGTGTGTCTAATTGGAACACAGACGTGTGTACACGTGAACACACATATGTGTACACGTGAACACAGCACACGTGGAACACACACATGTGTACTGCACATGTGAACACACACATTTATGCGCGCGCGGAAAACACAGACACACACGAGTGTTCATCTGATAACAAACACGTGGTCTCCTGGAACACAACCGTGTGTCTAATTGGAACACGTGTGTACACGTGAACACACATATGTGTACACGTGAACACACACATATTTATATATATATATGCGCACCCGGAACACACACACACACACGTGCGTTCATCTGAAAACAAACATGTATTCACCTGAAACACAAACACGTGTCCAATTGGAACAAACATGTGTGGACACATGAACTCACAAATGTGTACATGTGGAACACACATATGTGTGCAAATGAACACACATACATGCGCACGCGGAGCAGACACACACACACACACACACACACACACGCGTTCATCTGATAACAAACATGTGTCCTCCTGGAACACAAACACGTGTCCAGTTGGAACGCACATGTGCGCACGCGTGAACACACAATGTGTGCACGTGAACACACATACAAAAAAAGTGCACGCGGAGCAGACACACACGCACGTGTTCATCTGATAACAAACATGTGTTCTCCTGGAACACATACACGTGTCTGATAAGAACACACATGTGTGTACACGTGAACACACATATGTGTACACGTGCAACACGCATATGTGCGCACGTGAACGCACATATGTGTACATGTGGAACACACATATGTGCACACGCGAACACACACACATATATATATATATATGCGCGCCCGGAACACGCACACACACACATGCGTACACCTGGAACACATATGTGTGTATGTCTGGAAAGCACATTTCTGTTCACCTGCAACACACATATGTGTTCACCTGGAACCCATATATGCGCTCACTTGGAACAGGCATTTGTGTTCACGTGCGACACTGGTGCAGACCTGGATCACACAAGCATGTTTAACCAGAACAAACTTCTGTGTTGACTTGTAACACACATATGTGTACACATGGAACACACGTGTGTGCACATGTGGAGAAACATGTGCAACACAAATGTGCAACACACATGCGTTCACCTGGACAACAAAAATGTGTTCACATGGAATTTACATTTCCTGCACGCCTGGGCGACACATAAATCAAGTTCCCGAAGCCGGCTGTGAGGCGCTATTCCATGGGGCTCTGCCTTGAACAACGCTTGTGTTTTATATGCGTGTTCCAAGTAGGAAAATAGTGTTCGTGTACGATCAATCTAGCTTTTTTGAAACACATTGCTGGCGCGCGAGCCTGCTGCTGCTGCTGCTACTACTGCTAGTACTATCAGTATCGGATGCGTCTCCAGCAGTTACAGGCTTCAGCTTAGCAAAAGCTTTCCGGCGCATTGCGCTTCTTTCTCGCTTAGCTGCACAGTGTCTTTCGTATCGATTGCTAAAGTGCTTTGATCGTATTGTGGCAACTCTTCGTATCGATTCAGAAAAGCATTTGCTTTCGCAGGGAAATACGCAACCCAATTCTTCCGTATGCTCGGTACAAGACATCCCTGCCGTCTTGCCTCAGCCGTTGTTTCTCCCCTTTGTCCAGCAAATCGCACTCCATGATAATTGCATGCGAGGAGAGCGGAAGCAAATTTGGATTGAAGCGTATCTGGGAACCGGTCACAGCTGACCACTGCGCTAGCGCCTTGCTAGCGCGCGGCTAGCGCGGGTTCGCCGTATTTTTTGGAGTCACGGCGACCATCTGTGTGGATTTGACAAATTAAGGCCATGTAAGATGAAGGTAAACGTGCGGGCTGGCTTCAAGTACTAAGTAAGAACTGCAACATTACACCCTTGAAAGCCACGCAAAGCCCATCGCGGCAACCCACGCGCCAACTCTTGGAAACCAAGATCACCGAAGACCCTAGCGCAAACCAAGCGCCATCCTAGCGCCTCCAGTGGGGAGCGGGCAATCCATTGGTATTTGCAGGACTCCGCTTTGTGTGAATGAAAAACTGCACAAAGTGACTGCGACGGTGGCCTCTGTAGACTAAACCCCCTTACTAGGAATTTTGACCGGATCGCATATGTGTTTTATCAGAACAATCGCATGCTTTCACCTGGAACACAAACATGTGCTGACGTGGAACACACTCATGTGGTCACATGCAAAAAGTGCGTGTTCACTTGGAACGCGCCGATGTGGTCAGCTGGAACACACCAAGAACACACAATCATTTACTTGAAGCACTCGTACGTGCATCCGCAGCATGCTGCAAGCGCACGCGCGCGCTCAAACACACGTTTCTGAGCCTCAAACACACATGCGAGCCCGCGGAATACACCGCGAATGACCAGGGAGCCGTGCCAGGCATCCAGGCTGGGGGACAACAAGAAGGAGACAAAGGGAGACAAATGAACCCGTCCGCCCGGAGCGCGCCAGACATCCAAGCTGGGAGACAAACGAATCCGTCCACCCAGAGAGCCGTGACAGGCATCCAGGCTGGGAGACAACCGGGGCCAAATAAAGGGAGACAAAGGGAGACAAATGAATCTGTCAGGCAAATGAAGGGAGAGGAACCCGTCCGCCGGGAGAGCCGGGACAACCCCAGGTGCCAAGAGCACCACTGGGTATCTCGGCGTAGGTTCGTTGAACATCATCAAAGAATCGATAGACGATTTAACTCCAGCGTGATTCACGTTTGTTTCACCGGGGGGTTAACAGAGCCTTCTCGTAGCTGAAGCCGTGCACCGCAGCGCACCGCTCTCGTCAGCTCGGGACTCCAAATGCGAGCAAGGACAGAGAGAGGCCGCAACTGATAACGAGGCACTGAACGAACAGACAGGGTGTAGCCAACGATAGACAAGGAAGACGACCCACCACGAGCCCAAGCAAAATCGAAGTCCAGATGAAGGGCAGACAGAGGACCCTGTCCCCAACATCCACAAGACAAGGAATGACCGAAGCCAGGGCCGAAGCCGAACGCAAACCAGACCCCGCCAAAAGGACAGAACCGCGGGAAGTGAAGGAAACCGCGGAGCGTGAGTGCCACACATCCAGGCTGGGAGACAACGGGAGACAAATGAATCCGTCCACCCAGAGGGGCATCCAGGCTGGGAGACAACGGGAGACAAACAAAGGGAGACAAAGGGAGACAAATGAATCCGTCCACCCAGAGAGGCATCCAGGCTGGGAGACAACGGGAGACAAATAAAGGGAGACAAAGGGAGACAAATCAATCCGTCCACCCACAGAGATGGGAGACAAATGAAGGGGAACCAAGGGAGACAAGTGAATCCGTCCGCCTGGAGAGCCGTGACAGACATCCAGGCTGGGAGACAACGGGAGCCAAATGAAGGGGGACAAAGGGAGACAAGTGAAACTGTCCACCCAAAGAGCCGTGCCAGGCATCCAGGCTGGGAGACAACGGGAGACAAATGAAGGGAGACAAAGGGAGACAAGTGAATCTGTCCGCCTGGAGAGCCGTGCCAGACATCCAGGCTGGGAGACAACGGGAGACAAATGAAGGGAAACAAAGCCCAGAGAGCCGTGCCAGACAAATGAAGGGAGACAAAGGGAGACAAATGAACCCGTCCACCCAGAGAGCCGTGCCAGGCATCCAGGCTGGGAGGCAACGGGAGACAAATGAAGGGAGACAAAGGGTGACAAATGAACCCGTCCACCCAGAGAGCCGTGCCAGGCATCCAGGCTGGGAGACAACGGGAGACAAATGAAGGGAGACAAAGGGAGACAAATGAACCCCTCCACCCCAGAGAGCCGTGACAGGCGTCCAGGCTGGGAGACAACCGGGGCCAAATAAAGGGAGACAAAGGGAGACAAATGAATCCGTCAGGCAAATGGAGGGAGAGGGAGACAAATGAACCCGTCCGCCGGGAGAGCCGGGACAACCCCAGGTGCCAAGAGCACCACTGGGTATCTCAGCGTAAGGTTCGTTGAACATCCTCGAAGAATCGATAGAGGATTTAACTCCAGCGTGATTCACGTTTGTTTCACCGGGGGGTTAACAGAGCCTTCTCGTAGCTGAAGCCGCGCACCGCAGCGCACCGCTATCGTCAGCTCGGGACCGCAACTGATAACGAGGCACTGAACGAACAGACAGGGTGTAGCCAACGATAGACAAGGAAGACGACCCACCACGAGCCCAAGCGAAATCGAAGTCCAGATGAAGGGCAGACAGAGGAGGACCCTGTCCCCAACATCCACAAGACAAGGAATGACCGAAGCCAGGGCCAAAGCCGAAGGCAAACCAGACCCCGCCAAAAGGACAGAACCGCGGGAAGTGAAGGAAACCGCGGAGCGTGAGTGCCACACATCCAGGCTGGGACACAACGGGAGACAAATGAATCCGTCCACCCAGAGAGCCGTGCCAGGCATCCAGGCTGGGAGACAACGGGAGACAAATAAAGGGAGACAAAGGGAAACAAATGAATCCGTCCACCCACAGAGATGGGAGACAAATGAAGGGGAACAAAGGGAGACAAGTGAATCCGTCCGCCTGGAGAGCCGTGACAGACATCCAGGCTGGGAGACAACAGGAGCCAAATGAAGGGAGACAAAGGGAGAAAAGTGAATCTGTCCACCAAAAAAACAGTGCCAGGGGAGACAAATGAAGGGAAACAAAGGGGTGCCAGACATCCTGGGAGACAAAGGTAGACAAATGAACCCGTCCACCCAGAGAGCCGCGCCAGGCATCCAGGCTGGGAGACAACGGGAGACAAATGAAGGGAGACAAAGGGAGACAAATGAACCCGTCCACCCAGAGAGCCGTGCCAGGCATCCAGGCTGGGAGACAACGGGAGACAATGAAGGGAGACAAAGGGAGACAATGAACCCGTCCACCCAGAGAGCCGTGCCAGGCATCCAGGCTGGGAGAGAACGGGAGACAAATGAAGGGGACAAAGGGAGACACATGAACCCGTCCACCCAGAGAGCCGTGCCAGATCCAGGCTGGGAGACAACGGGCGACAAATGAAGGGAGACAAAGGGAGACAAGTGAATCTGTCCACCCAGGCATCCAGGCTGGGAGACAACGGGAGACAAATGAAGGGAGACAAAGGGAGACAAATGAACCCGAGCCGCGCCAGGCATCCAGGCTGGGAGACAAATGAAGGGAGACAAAGGGAGACAAATGAACCCGTCCACCCAGAGAGCCGTGCCAGGCATCCAGGCTGGGAGACAACGGGAGACAAATGACAAAGGGAGACAAATGAACCCGTCCACCCAGACTGGATCATCCAGGCTGGGAGACAACGGGAGACAAATGAAGGGAGACAAAGGGAGACAAGTGAACCCAGGGAGACAAACGAACGCGTCCACCCAGAGAGCCGTGCCAGGCATCCAGGCGGGGAGACAACGGGAGACAAATGAAGGGAGACACAGGGAGACAAATGAACCCGTCCACCCAGAGAGCTGTGCCAGGCATCCAGGCTAGGGCTTGGCAACAGGCGAGCCACCTTAAATGAATTTAGAACCCCTCACAGTAAACTGTTTGGGGAATAAACATATATATATGTATATATACATGTAAGAAAAAGAAGAACCACTGATATTGCCATGAGCCGGAGGTGAAGTGGACGGGCCTTGCCAGCGCCTGCGCCGGTGCCTTTGGCACGGCGGGGGGCCTCATCCCGGTGAGTACTTGCCTGGAGTCAAAGGGCGCTGAGATCTTCCTGCTTCCAGGCAACCCCAGAAGAAAGTGGTTTGGATTGGTGTTTTGGATTGGTGGTTTGGATTGGTGGTTGGTGGTTGGATTGGTGGTTTGGATTGGTGGTTTGGATTTACTTGGTTTGACTAGGTGATAAACATGTTCGACACCACAAAGGGAAGGCCTCCAAAGGAAAACAGGAAGCAGCCCACTGGAGTGTGGATCCGATGCCACCAAAAAGAACGGTTCGCTGGTTGCAAGGGGAGTTGAAGGAAGCCCGAAAAGGCAACAAGTCCAAAGCTAAGTAAAGTCGGGCAAGAAGAGCCAAACTACTCATACAATGTGGTTGTGGGATTTTTTCAAGCTAATGCAAGCCATGGGAATTGGAGCATGTGAGCAACTAGGTCCCCCAGTAGTGCCCTTTTACCCTTTGTTGGGGGGAGGGTTCCCCGCTAAAATAGACTACAGAAGCAGGGTACCCTTATTCTAACCTCTCTACAGGAGGACCTAGGCAATATATTCCCGCACCTTCACATGAAATCGTGCAACATCAGGGCGCACTGCTGGGATGAAGAGACTCCGAGAGGAATCCGTTGGCAGACCCCGAGCTGCTTGAGACAGTTTAAAAGGGGCCCATATAAGGCAACCAGTTGAATCGCTGCGCGTGTTGCCTATCCTATGATGGTTCTCAAAAATGGGACTCCGTTCCCTAAACTGGCAACCACTTTCTTTGGGTTCCCCTCAAATAATATCCAAGGCGCGCTCCACCATTCTGAGAAACCTCCCGAAGTCTGCGAGGTGGATTCTTTCTCTTTTCCTTGCTTGAGGGGAGGGGGGTACCATGTACGTATATACCCTTTTAGGGGTTGGTTTCAAGGGAAACCATTGAGACCCCCCCCCATTTTTGGGGTTCCTCCATTTAGATACATCCCATTCGCGGAATACTTCCAAGCCCTCAACTAAGGGATCCCCGAGGAAAGTGAACTTTAATCTGGCGAGCTCGTTTTTCCCCCAGGCGATTGTTCCTCAAGGGAGCGGGAGAAACTCAGTGATCCCCCCCCCCCTCCGGAAACTCGCGACTGATTGCCTCATTAGCCCCTGAACAAATGAGAAAATATGTCCATCAGTGATCGCCTCCCTTCAATGCCAAGATGGGAACATACATCATCTTGCTGAGATGGAAGCAAATATGAACTGGATTTGACATTTGGACTTGTTCAGTGAGTTACGCTTGGACGTTCGAGCTTCCGTCTAGTTGGTGGTTTGGATCGTTTGTTTCTATTGGTGGTTTGGTGGTTAACGAGCGGTTTCCCATGTACCCTCTACAAGGATCCAAATTCCCAAACCAATCCAAACCACAAACTGAACGGAAGCTTATATTACAACCGTCCCATGGAAATCTGGGAACGGATCGATGGTGATTGAAATCCGTTCCCATGCAAATCCCGGGAGCTGGTGTAAGCCCAAATGGTTATGGGTCACCGGAATATGGGCCGCAGGTTTTAGTCCATGTTTCCACTTGCCAGAGCAGCCCATTTTAGGGTTCCCTGAACCCTCAAAGTTCCCCTAAGAATTGGACAAATCCTGTGATGTTCGATTTGTATGGGTAGTTTGAGGGTTCCAGGTCCCGATTTTTCAGCCGCCAAAGGGAAATCTGGACCGAACGGCCTCACCACGCAGGTGATTGGCTCGCACTCCCCGGGCCTCACCACCTTCAACGTGGCCGGGGGCACCAGAAGCGAAAATCGGATCGGAGTAGCCGGCGAATCGACGCGCGAGAAAAGCTGGGAGTAGTCAGTGGTATTGATGAAGGCCATGTTTTTATTGGTTGTATCGATGAACTTGGTATATACTTAAGGTGGTGTTACTAAGGTAATTTTAGCGATTTGGCGCCTGAAGCATCATTGGACCCTCCGTTAAACGGGGGGTTTAGCACCCTCTGTTGGAAGGTGTTGCCTTTGTGTCTCCAGCTGATTCAGCGGGTCGATAGGCAGGCTCTGGCGTGAGCTTGGGAGCGTCCGGGGCTCTTTGGGGATGCCACCTGGGCATTTTCCACCACTTAGGTACTGTGGATGGACGAAATCCTGCACCTAACAAACTCTGGAATGATGATTCCCCTATAAATATCAACAAGCAATGGTTTCCCATGGTTTCAAAATGGTGCTTCGAGGCTTCGCCAAGCCCGCGGCCAGGGTCAGCTGTCCCGGTAGGGCACTTGGTGTTGAAAGCCCGGGTTCGCAAAGCCCCAGGATTTACCTACCGTGGGACAATCCAGAACCATCTCCTTTCGGGCCGTGACATGCTGGTGTGTCTTGGTTTTTGGTTGCCCCTTTTTAGGGTTGGCTTAAATGGACATCATTAGGAACAACACGCATGGGGGTGCCACTTTTCAGTCAAACCCACATGGGAACCGACAGAACCAAGGGGTTCTGGTGGTCCCCAGGCCCACATGCAGGGGTGTCGCATGCTTCAAGTTTCTGGTGCCAAGGAGGCTGGCAGTTCCAACGTTAAGGCTGCCGTGGGGCGCCTCAGAGAGGAGAAGTCATCAGAGCCAATCTCAGACAGGCACACCGCTTACTTGGAGGTGTGGCTCGCTAATTACTGTTGTTCGGACGGTTTTTAGCTGTTGGGAACCCAATGGAAAGGAAACACAACTTCAATGTTGATGGAGCAAGTTTCATTTGGAAACCCAAGGATTTTGTAAACCTGAGTTGCAAGCGACCCTTTCGATGTTCATTTGTAAACCCGGTGCAAAAGTTTAGTGGAGGTTTCAGGAGGAGCGCCAAACTTGTCCCAAAGAAGAGTTCTAAAATCCGAGGGCTGGGGGTGGGGGAAGGTCGGCAACTGGCTTTGTTGGAGCCTTTGGGAAGCTGGGACCCCCTCACACGCAGCTCCTATTTGCTATAACTCTCAAACCCACCAGCGAAATTCACACAGCGCTATGTGCCAGCAACGGCAACAACAACAACAACAACAACAACAACAGCAGCAGCAGCAGCAGCAGCAGCAGCAGCAGCAGCAGCAGCAGCAGCAGCAGCAGCAGCAGCAACAAGAACAACAAGCACAACAATAACAACAACAACAACAACAACAACAACAACAACAACAACAACAACAACAACAACAACAACAACAACAACAACAACAACAACAACAACAACAACAACAACAACAACAAGCAACAACAACAACAACAACAACAACAACAACAACAACAACAACAACAACAACAACAACAACAACAACAACAACAACAACAACAACAACAACAACACCAACAACAACATCAACAACAACAACAACAACAACAACAACAAC